AGAGTACCCCCTCCAACGATACCCCATTTTATGTAAATTAGAAGGCGTTTTTTTTCTTCTTTTGTTTAGCAATATATATGTATTTATTATTTTATACTCCCTTTTGTGCGCCCCTCCCCCACGAAAGGGTACCCCCTTTAAGAAGAGATTATCACGTAAAGCTCTCCATGTGCAGATAAATATAGGCATGTATATATATGTATAGACGCACCTCCGTACCTGTGCATATGTAATTATCCCTGCATATGCACAGAGCATGTTGATGTTGTGTGAAAAAAGGCAAAGAATTCAAGAGAGGGCACCACTGTTTTACCCCCCACCCCCTTCCGCACACCACTTTGGAAAAAACACACTAGCCTTGATAAGTTACACATAGCAAACAACGCACAATTTGCTGTAGCCACAAGTAGATTTATCTGTTTTCCACGATATTTTTCCCTGTTACGATACTTTTTTTCCCTGTTATATTTTCCTCTGTTACAACGTCGCTGCGCTGTATGCCCTCCCCCCCTTGCCATTAGAAGTTGACGCATTAAGAAAAATAAAATAAAAAAAAAACAAAGAGGAAGAAGAACAAGAAGAACAACAACAGCACCATTTTAGTCAAGTACGCAAAATTGGCGCACATATTTTCACCTTTCTGAGGACACTCGCTCGAATTGAAGCAGCGAAGAAGAGAAAAGGAAGTTTTTTCCGCCTCCAAGGAATACCCATTGGATCCCTCCGCCAGCACCACCCTCTCTGCATAGGAGAGCCTCTACATAATAGACGCTAACTTAGCCAAGTATACCTTACTATTCCGACCGTGGACTCACCGCGCATTTTCCATCACGCGATATTTTATAGAATCATTATAACACACACATTTCGTTTGAGAAAAAATGAACGTCTTCGAAGGAATCGAAAAGAGAGTTGTAATCAAGCTGAGGAAGGAATGCTTTGAGAAGAAAAAGAAAATTTCATCCCTCTTGGATATCTCCAGAGAATTATGGGAGCAGAAACTAAACCTTATCGGATGCAGCATCGTGTCAGAAATAGAAGAAGATGTCCAGGCACCAGCTGAAGAAAGATGTAGAGTGTATCTGCTGTCAGAAAGCTCCCTCTTTATTTACACAGACATGGTGTTTATAAAAACTTGTGGAAAAACCAAGGTCCTGTTTTTCATTCCTTTTCTGGTCGATTTGTTAATACTCAAGTTGACGAATGAATATGCTTTGAAGGCCAATGGAATGTACGACGAGAGTTTTCTTTCCCAAAATGATCTGATCGACATTATCGAGTTCATTGGGGACAATTTCGAATACGCATTCTTCACACATATGAATTATCAGAACAAGACGAAGGATGGTTACTACGAGCAGGAGTACCCGCACAAGTCCATTGAGGATGAGAAAACATTCTTCCAATTTTTCTTCAAGACTTTTCAGTTTGCCAACACGCCCCTGCCGCACGGGAGGAACCACTACATCTTCTTTGCGCAGGTGAATCAGCTGGTGAGCGATGCTGCTAATGGATCGACGAACGGAACCACTAATGGGTTGGCGAACGGGGCCGTCCACTTCCCCCCCAGCTCTCACAAGTTCTGCTCCGAAATGCACCTGTTCGGAATTAACAAACATAGCGAGAGGGCCATGTTTCACGAACTGTACCTGAACGAGGACTCCCTAGGGATATTTCACTCGGGAGGGGAGCCACAGAAGGTGTATGAAGAGAATGAAAAAACGGACATATGCTGTAGCGAAAATTCGTATGACTATGCAGAGTGCAGTTCGAAAAGCACGACCAACACGAGTTGCCTGTACAAGGAGACGATGGCTCCATTTCGAAGCGCAGAGGATATGGGCTACTACGGACATCCCCGCAAAGAAGCGTTCTCCAATTTTCACTTGAAAAACACCGACATGAGTAGCAAAAACTTGGATGAAACCATTCATGAGGACACGGTGTCGTACAGGAATGATGAATTCCCCCTGGATGGCAGCGGTCACAACAGGGGCAGCAGCGTCGGAATTGGTTGCTGGATTGCAGACGCCAGCGAAAATGCGAAGTCACTCCTGCTGCCGTCCACCTCGAACGAGAGCAAATACATGCAGAGGCAAATCGCACACGAAAGCTCAGTCTCGAACATGCAGTGCGAATTGCAGCCCTTGGATGGCAGAACTCAAAGGGATGTTAAAGTTGAACAGAAGAGGGAAAATAACACCGACAGCAACGCATACCTGAACGAATTTTACCCGCGAAGTGAATCCATGGCGAAGGACAGCGAAGTCGGAGGAGGAGGCGCTATCGGAATGGGAAGCGGAATGGGCGTTATCACCACATCATCTCACTGCAGCTCCAACGACAGTAGTGTCATTCACTTGAGGGACGCCTACTCCAGTTTGAACAGCTTCAGCGCCCTGGATAACTGCATCAGGGTTGCAGGAACAGAATTATCCTCTTTTCCGTCGTCACCTAGAAATAGCCAACAAGTAAAACAGATGAAGAGCCCCAAACCACAGGTGCACGTGAAGAAGATAGATACCAATTTGTACGAATGTTCCAGCCTACAAAATAACAAGGAGAAATTTCTTTACAACGAGTTTTACTTTACACCATGCGGCTATTCGTGCAATGTATCACAGAAGAACAACTATTTTTGTGTTCACTACTCGCCGGAGGATTTGGTGTCGTACGTCTCTATAGAACTTGCGAGTGACCTAAGAAGCGAGAGCTTTTTCAGGTTTATGGCGAACCAGCTGAGTTTTTACGGAGCAAAGGTGTTTTACGTGATGAATTATCATTACGATGTTGAGGGAAGCAGCATTGGAAGTCGTGTCGGAGGAATGTCTTCTTCACCCACCTCGGAGGCAACACTCCTGCATCGAAAGCTCTGCAACAATATTATAGTGAACAATGAGCAATACTACGCTATCCTGTGCATGAAGGAACTTACTATGGGCTTCCTCAAAATGCAATATTTCGTATACGAGTTGAAAAGTGTGAACGACGTTAGTGGAATCAATCTGTATCTTCCGAGTGGACGCCAGGAAGCTGGAAACAACTTCGCTGTGACTCCTCTACCGAACCATGTAGTGAATGACATGTATACGTATAGCTACCTATTCTGCAAGCAAAACCGAGTGATGATGGTAGATATGGGGACAGAATCTGAGAGTAACGGCGGAAGCTTGCACCCTAGCAATCCCCACAGGAACAGTGACACCGGCTCGAGTAGAAACTTGTCTGAAGATTCGCTAAACCTAAACGTAGGGGGGACAACCCAATTTGATGGCGACTCGAAGGAAGTAAAGGTGGCACGTCTTTCCCGAGAAGCCTTGGAAAGCAGCTCAAACAGTGCAGACGATCCAAAGGGCAGCTCCCCAACCAGCAGAGTAGACACAACCCAAACGAATGAGGAAGAGTGCCCAGAAAGGAAACATAAAGAAGAAATGACAGACTACTACCGAAGGAACAAAATAGAGATGTTCACGTTGAGCAGAATTCTAAATGAAGATATCGACACATCCGTTGTGTGTATAAATTTGCAGAAAATCCTGGCCCAGTACATCCGATTTAAGAAGAATCTGCCAAGTGTAACTCCCTTCTATTCCGTTAAAAGCAATAATGATGATGTAGTGCTTAAATTTTTATACGGATTGAACGCCAATTTTGACTGTGCATCTGTTGGAGAAGTAAAAAAACTGACAACGTTACTTCCAGATCTGGCTCGAGAAAGAATCATTTATGCCAACACGATAAAGAGTATCCCATCTCTGATCTATGCAAAGAATGAAAACATAAATCTGTGTACCTTTGATAACATCGAAGAGTTGAAAAAGATACTGAAATATCATCCCACCTGTTCTCTCCTTCTCCGCATCAACGTCGATTTTAAGAATTACAAATCATATATGTCGTCGAAGTACGGAGCGAATGAACACGAATGGGAAAACATCCTCTCCTTTGGAAGGAAACACAACTTAAACATCATCGGGGTGTCCTTTCATGTTGGAAGCAATACGAAGAATCTTTTCGATTACTGTCAAGCCATTAAATTGTCAAGGGACGTTTGGAACATGAGCAACAAATTGGGATACCATTTTGAAATTCTAAACCTAGGGGGAGGCTACCCAGAAGAATTAGAATACGATAGTGCCAAAAAAAATGAGAAGAAAAAATATTGCACGTTGAATGAAGCCGAGTTAAAGAAAGACATACAGAGCTTCCTTAATGACAAGTCGGTCATGAAAACAAAGTATAACTTCTACAACTTTGAGAAAATTGCGCTTGCCATTAATATGTCCATCGAACACTATTTTAAAGATATAAAATCCAAGCTGCGAATCATTTGTGAACCCGGAAGGTACATGGTTGCTGCTTCGTCTACCCTAGCTGTCAAGGTTATTGGCAAGAGGCACCCCACGTTCCAGGGGATTAGGCTAAGAGACTTAAGGGGCATGAATCCGCTTGATTTTGCGAAGAGGGGCGCGCAACCCGTGGGGGGGGGCAGCGGAGGAGCGGACAGAACCGAGGGGAACATCGACGAAGGGGACCGAGGCGAGGGGAACGTCGACGAAGCGAACATCGGTGAGGGGGTTATCGGTGAGGGGGTTATCGGTGGGGGGGTTATCGGTGGGGGGTATAGCGACCATGTGAGCAACAGCCAAGGGGGAAAGACAGACCGACAGGAGGGGGTAGACGGAGGTGCTACTCATACGGAGGGATCAAAGAACGCAGAAAACGCGGAAGAGCTTCTCCTACTCAGCCACACCAACCTAAGCGAAAACCTCAGCTGTAACAGCAATTCCAAGTTAGGAAACATAACAAACATAAAGAGGAAGGTAGTCAGCATTAACGACAATCGATACAACTACTACTCCTACTACGTCAGTGACAGCATATACGGCTGCTTCAGTGGAATCATATTTGACGAATATAATAGATCCCCAGTGTTTGTAATTCGAAACCAAGGAGATAGCAGTACGGCATGTGATGATTTGGTAACTTCTCCCATATATCTTGCCAACATTTTTGGACAATCCTGTGATGGGCTGGACATGATCACCTCCATTACATACCTACCAGAATGCTACATTAACGACTGGATTATTTATGAATATGCGGGAGCATACACGTTTGTTAGCTCGTCCAATTTTAATGGGTTCAGAAAATGCCAGAAGGTGTATATTTTCCCGAACAGCTCCTTTTCCTTTCTCAAGTGAGGTTCTGCTCTGGACGCATGCAGAAAAGTGAGTGCTTCTGCTTCGCTGCGTTGTGTGTGGGAGGCACACAAACGTACGAATGGCGGCCGGAGAGGGATTCGGAACCGTCGTCTTGAGGCGAAGCGAGAAAAGAGGAACAAGTGAAAAAAAAAAAATAGCATAACTTAGAAAGCAAAAAAATAGCATAACTTAAAAGGCAAAAAAATAGCATAACTTAAAAGGCAAAAAAATAGCATAACTTAGAAGGCAAAAAAATAACATAACTTAGAAGGCAAAAAGATGACGCACATCCCAAATTAACTTTAAAAAAATTAACAGGAATTAACCCTGAGCACCGACGCCCATACCCATTGTATTGTTTCCATTCCGCGACGTGCACCGCCCGCCGTTGCGCGTTGGGCGCTTCTATCTTTGAATTCACTGAATATATATCAGCTGCATGTGTACAGCGGCTGGACATGGCAAGACGTGGAAGACAGGCACACACGGGGAACACGCCACCCTGTGACAACTTCGACGAAGCAGACGGGTGGAGCCGCGCCTAACTGGGCTGCACAATGGAAAAAACGGCTTTAAGTTTAAGTAGTTACAGTTAAACTGCATGGCAGGAATAGGACAACGGGGGAGGTTAGAGGCGACGGGTAAAAAGTAACACCCACGCTAGAAACACGGAAGCAACGTATCAGTACATCTGCTAATGCGCTTAACTGTGTGCGCTCCCTCTCCCACCCGTCCGGCGATGAGAAAACCCCATCTTGTTTTCTTCCTCGTCTTACCAGAGACGGTGCATCTTCCCCGTTTATGCCACTTTGCATATTTCTTTAATTAAATAATCGAAACAATGACAATTCAAAGGAAAAACTGTATCATCAATTGCTTTAAAAAAAAGAAAAAAAAAAAAAAAAGCCAACCAGGGGGGCGTTCCACGCAGGACACATTTACATTCCTGTGTACGTCTCTACGGAATGGCACCGCCGCCTTCCCCTCCCCCCCTTCACGTGTCAACCGGGACGGGGCCATTTTTCACGCGCTTTGTCCGCTGCCGCAGCTTAAAGTTGAAGTGCCTTCCGTGCGAATGTATGGAAGGTTTCTTGCGCTCAGTCCCTTCCCCTAGGCTCAGAGTGATGGACCGCTGTTTCTCCGTCATAGGGGTTGGCTCCTCCGGGTCAGAGTAACGCTGTGGAGAGATATACCCCTCGACTTCGTTCATCCCGTGCGGTATGTCATCGTGTATATAGGAATCCTCACCAGTGGGCTGCTCTGCAAGAGGGCCGCTTGACGCGTCCAGCTCCGCCGGGCGTTTCCCCTCGAGGGGGTCCCGAGTGAAGATATACTTACGTCCCTTCTGATACGAAACTGGCTTGGTCATCTTATCCCGGTTGACAGCCAAACCCCCCCGACTTATGACGAACCTATGGATAGCCTTCTCAATAAAGTGATAATTCTTAACGTCGCGTTCTTGCATCAGTTGGTATAGCATAATGAGTTGGTAAGCGAGGGGTCGCTTGGCGGACCGTGAAGGATACTCATACACATGTGACGCACACCATTTGCTAAGTGCGATGAGAAAGTTGTTTCTTACGTACTTCTTAGACACGAGGAAATTTAAACAAACGAAGGGGTCTTCCAGCTGGTTGATGTCTTCCTCCCCCTGGAAGGTCTCAATGCGTCTTAAAAATTCATCAAGTAAATCTTTCTCGTATAGATCCCAACTGTATTTAAGTAGCTTCACCTTTTTCATAAGATCAAACACCTCCTGTGTGGTTAGCAATTTTAACTCCTTCTGTTGTTTCTCATCAAATACGTAATAAATGACATCGTCATGAACGTCCAACCGTCGAAGACATCCAACAATACAACACAAGTGGGTATAATCAAACAGGTTCACATTCTTCACCATAGATTTACAAAGAGTTCTCATCAGATCCGCATTCGAAATGTTTAAGCTGGCAAAACAGATCAGCAGATCGACATACTCCTCTGGATAAAATTTCGAACAGTATCTAACTATGGCATGAAAAATTTGGACAAATAATACCCGTGGAAATAAGTTGGCTTTGCAATACAAATTGATTAGCATGATAATGTGTCTTGGCTCCATATGATTTATTTGCTTTACAAAGACATGAGCAAAAGTTTTATATAAGTGATCATCTGTCATATTCATCTTTTCAAACGAGCTCAGCAACAGCACTGCGTCGAAGTACTTAAACTCGTCACATCGGTCAATAGCATTTCTGGATATCTCACTCCATAAAACTACGTCTCGGATTTTCTTGTTGCTGCAGTTTTCTGAGAGTACTCTCAATTCCTGGCTCTTCATCTGTTTTATGTGTCCGTAGTTATTCTCCATTATGACTTTTGTGGTGAGCTCATCGGGTGTGGTGCTTGACCCGAACAGCCTCCGGTGCTCTGCGGGGGTTGGAAGCCACTTCCGGGGGGCTCTCCACCCGTTCGGCTTCATCCCCACGATTGATTTTGCCCATGCGATCATTTTTTTCGACCTCTCAGGGTGGCCTCTGGGAGGGGGCATATAGAGCGATACCTTCCACTTGCAACATTAACAGAGGGTCAGCAAAAAGAAAAGAAAAAATGGTAAGTTATCACTCCGAGAGCATCGCATTACATTTATGTTCTCCATTTTTTCTTTTTTTTTGTGTGTATTTTCGTACTAGCTTTTCCCGCGCCTTCAACTTGTGGGTGTCCCCAAGAGCGATGAGGGAGTTTTTCTCTTCCAGTGCGGTGCGCGAGTTGCTTAGTAAAAATAACTGGGCGCTGCAAGCGACTCGGCCGAACGAACTGGAACAGTTGCACTTTTGCGGCACGTCACTTGCGCGCCATTGGATTGTCGGTCACCCCTTAACGGGATCCCTCCCCCCAAAAAAATTATACATAATATAGATATATATTATATATATATCTACATATTTGTATTTTTCCTTTTGTTGTTATCCCTTTTGTTGCTACCCACCCCGGGACGCCTCATGCCCTGGTGCGTTTCTCCAGAGGGGACGCCATATGAGGCAAGAGCGGGGGTACCCTACATGACAAACAGCGCCAAAAAAAAATAGAAATTTTTTTTTCATAAATACAGACGGTGTGGTCACTCAACAGAGGAGAAAATATGGGTTAATAAAAAAAGTCAGACCAGAATTAAAAAACCTTCGTGCGGACTTCTCTTCGCAACAGCTCCTTTGATCCGTTGATCCGTTGCCAATCTCCGCCGTACACCATGGAGCGACTGCAAGATAAGCTGCGGCAGGAACGGACCAACGACCAGCCCAGCCTTAACCGGTGTGACTTCGACATAGTCGAAAGGTACGTGGATTCTTCGAGCGATGAGGAGGGCGGCCTCCCAGACGAGCAACATGGAGGTGAGCAGCAAGACAGAACGGAAGAACAACAGCGTCATGAGGAACAACGCCTGAGGGGCCGGGGGAACCAGACGGGCGACCCCCCGCGGGTGAGTTTCCCACCAGCCCTGCACCGGAGCCTGTTAAACTTGCAAAAAGACGACCTGCAGGAGAGGATAAACCTCGGTGAAATTTATGGCGCGCTTGATGCGCCAAGTGTGGCAACGACTACCAACGTTGCCAACCTTGCCAATGAGGGCAATGCCGCCCATCTTACTGATCGAGGGAGTCGTGAGGACGGAAAGAGCGAACCGAACAGACGCGAAAAGGTCAACCATAGCGATGTTGACAGGAAAGGAAGGAAGAATCAAGTGAAGGAGAAGCACCAATTGACCTTCCAAATAAACCAAAACGAAGTAGCAAAACTGCAGTGGACAAATCCAGTCAGGGATGAAGAGGTAAGAGAAATGAGAAGTTTTAGTGAAGTCAAATTGCATCAAGTACGCTTCGATTTTGAAGGAAAATTAAGAATACAAATAAACGAAACAGAATTGAACAAAAAAAAAAAAAATCTTCAATCATTTTGATGGACTATATCACCACAACGATGAGCCACTTAATAGTGGTTACACGTTCCCAGAAATGATTTTTCTGTGTCAAAGTTCGCATAACAGTCAAGTCTGTATAGCTCTGAAAATTATGACCAATGTGTTGGTAAACTCGCATTTAAGAGCCTTCAGTTTTTATGACCATTTAGCATCCGACCTCTACCCCGACCAGAGTACCCTCCCAATAAAAGACAAATACTCCTTTGGGTTCACGTACAGAAGATTTTTCAGCTACCTGAACAGTGACTTAAACCTATTCGACAAGCTCCTTTTCTTGCTTAAGCACTGCAGGAACAAGAATATCGAAATGAGTTCTGTGCACTGCTTGGCTAGCTATACCTTCCCCAACAATGTTTGCGCTTTGAGGGAGGACGTGGTGTTTGATTACTGGGGGGAAGGGGACTCCCCCGTGCTCAGATTCTTTCACGACTACGAGGCGTTTTCCTACCTGGACTTTTTCAGCGACAGCGCCTTTCTCTTCGAAGGATGTAACGTCTATTTTTATGACACGCGCAAGAAGGGGGCACCTAAAGTACGTGCTGAAGATAACGCCGACGAATACGCGGATAAATCTGCTAAGGAATACGCGGACGAATCTGCTAAGGAATATACGGACAAATCTGCTAAAGAATACGCGCAGGGGGGTAGCGCCCCGGGTGAAGTCAAACTGGGCGGCGAGGAGACGGGACACCCGCGGAACCACTCAGCGCAGTGGGGCGCCACCGACTGGTCCAAGGTGGCCAAGAAGTTACAAAAGGGACACATAACAGGGAAAGGGGGAGACAAATCAGAAAGGGAAAACCTCAAAAATTGGACAAAACGGGAAAACCACAAAAAACAGCCAAACCGGGAAGAACAGCCAAACGTGATGATAACAGATGTTCCCATAGAGGAAGAGATCATCGCCCACCTCGAACCCCTCACCAGCTTCGGGGACGACCTACAAGAGATACAAAAGATTAATGTTAAAATGATACACCTGGAAGGCTTTCACGGATACGTACATGAGGATGTCCTCACCAACATAAGCACCATTCTAGAAAACAATTTCATCGTAGTCCAAGTGGAAAACAGTTGTGTATGCCTTTTAATAGGTCTCTTGTCCAGATACAGACAGCAAGTGAACCTACTCAAATGTAGAGACCTGATAACCAACTTAGAAAAATTATACGAATCGAAAATAATAGGAAGCGATTTGCACAGGGAGAGGGAACATCGAGGAATAAACCAAGCGGATCATGTCGAAACAAACTTCACATATAACTTAATAACGCTGATAAGGTATGTTATCATATACAATTACGATAAGGACCTATTGGAAAAATTTAAAGTCCTTCCCTTTTTGCTATTCTATAGAAGTCTTCCTTTTATTCGAAATGGTGGAGACAGAAGGGGGGCCTTCTTTTTGGGAAGCGAAGTTTTGAAGGTATTTAGACTGCTACTCTTTTGCAACCTGTACATAGAACCCGTTGACTATTTTCATGACCTGATTAATCATCTGAACAGAGGGGACATCCATGATCATCATGGCGTCTACAAAAGGTTTCTCGCACAAGTGTATTTGTATTTAGCCACGTACAACATTGTGGGGAGGACTGTCGACTTGTCAGGATTCCTCTACACGAATAAAATTATAAACACGCTGCAGATTCAGGTGAGAACTTATTTTCGCCACGAGCCGATGAAGGGGATACCCGATGTGCCAATCGATGAGATGCCAACCGCTGACGTTCGAACCGCTCACATTGCAGACGCTGACTTTCCAGTCAAAAGAGTCCACAGGCAAAAGAACAAATGGGACTTCGCCCACTTGTGCAACCTGCAGCTAATTCACGAGTGTGGAGTTTACCTTTTTTCTGTTTTCTGGTCCATGAGGAGGAAGCGCCTGATTAGAGAAAAGTATGTTGCCCAAGATCAGGTAGAGGCACTGCTGAAAACGCTAGAGGTGCTGCTTCGAGCGGTTATGGATCAGTTTAACGACTTGTTAGAAGCTTACGCGGGGGAGAAGCAGAAGGAGCCGCCGAATCAGCCTCGGAGGGACGCTGGCTACCCGAACATCATCCAGAAGATAATTCGCCGCATGACGGACGGCCCCCTCCCTTTCAACTACGTGATTTACAAAAACGAAATCGAGTGGCATTTCTTCTTCGTCATTCTTCTCCAAATATTAAATATCATTTTGCTCATCGTCGTGGAGCTCCCATTTTTTCCTACCGACAAAGGGGAGCACACAACAGTGAAGTCTTTCAAACGCATTGCTCAAGATATTAGTGAGTTTGAAGAGGACACACTGATTCACTTCAAGAAGGACATTTTTTACATGGAACATGTGCAGGAAGACTCGTATAGCCTCTTTTTACCGCTGTCGTACCTTTTTTACAACGTTCACGCCGTTATGAGAGGAACACACCTCATGTGTAATCAAACCGATCAGTCCGATGAAGATGCCGTGGAGAGGCTACTATACTCTCTGAGCTTCTGTTCATCCGTTCCGTTAAGCTACTTTTGTTTGGGGGCAATTTTCTCCACGCCCTCTTCTGCAGGGAGTATTAGCCCAAGGGGAGAAACAAACGGGGGCATTTCTTCCTCACAAAATTGTCATCACCTGGGGGACGCTACCTCTGAAGAAATGGACACCTCCCGCGAAAGATCGAATGAGCGTAACGAGAGAATAATCGAGGAAACCCCTCCAACCAGTGGCGACCACGTGGACATCCCGAAGAACATCATACTTTTCCTACGTAAGTACGTCCAAGGAAAGTTTCTCCTTTACCACAGCAAGAAGAATATATTCCTGCTTCTACTTAAGAATATATTTAGGGAGTGTAATCGGAGATGCGTGGAACAAGAACGTGTGGAAGTTCCCCACGAGGGGGAAGCCACCGAGAAAGAAGACGCAGTAGTCCATCCCGTCCTCAAATTTTTACTGAACAAACACGTCATTCATTTTATCGGAAAGCAGATGGACATATCCATTTTTTTTAAATACTTTATTCAACTTTTTATCATCAATGAGGGAAAATGCATTGGAGACTCCCTGGGTGAGAAGAGGCAGGTTTATGCACAACTGGTGCGCATAGCGGAGGAATACATTTTTAAGCGAGTGGCCTGTGCAGACAGCGAGGGGGAGAAGCATCCCATCCCTGTACAGGATGTATCCCGCCTTGTTAGTGATTTCGGGAGGCACGATTCTCATAATGAGGGGGACTGCCAAAATGGTAACTGCGAAGATGCCATCCGGGTGGATGGTCCGGGCGCGCACCCGCTGCACATACACGTGGACCGCTTGCTACAAACAAACCGAAGAAGCATAAAAGCCTGCGCTCGGCAAAAAGAAATACAGATTAGTGCCCAGCTGTCTGTGGCTATATTTGAAAAAATCATTGAATCTTTTAAAATGGCCTATTTCTTCAGCCCCCTGATGTTCGCAATTTTATTTTTCCTTTCGTCCACGTCATTCCCAGAGGAATGTCGGAATGTCTTTTACAGCGACACAGATTTGTTGAAAATTTTGTCAAAAAATGTATTCATTCGTTTTTCTGATGATGGAATGGATTACATCGTTTTTACGACGTCTACATGTTATGGGACGGAAGAAACAAATTTTTTAATTGACCTGACGCCACTTTTCCCATCCATTTTTTCCCTCCTGTTGGACGACTCAAATGCGGACTGGTTTCCTTCCAGCATGCAGAACTACTTCAGAGCTGTACGCTCGCAGTATCCCTACCCTAGTCTGTTGCACTTCCTCTTTTACGTTAGTGCAAACGGGAAGTGAATCCCGAAACTTGGGAGAGACGTGCAAAACAAGGGTGTGCGAATCTGAGCATGTCTCTACCTTTTTGTCTTTCCCCTCACGTTCAATTTGCATTCCTTTATGGGAAGACAGATCCTCAGCTCCATCATGCCTGCAATTTTACTTTCTCTCCATCTTCCAGACTCGAAAAAGTAAATAACAACCTCGCGAGGGTTAACTCCTCCATGTGTCCACCACCAACTTGTGTATGATACCTCACGCAAAATTGTAACTCCTATATTTTGTTGTAAAAAAGGTACGCCTCTTCCAAAAGGGGAGAACCAGGTGGGATAAACCGCAGGATCTACCCAAGCTGAAATACTCTGCACAATCCATGCTGGACAATCACCAGGCAGTAGTTATCCCCACCCACCCCGCCGCAGCCCGCTCTCATTTTTACAACATTTGGTAACCTAATGAAGGGGGATAACTCCTATCCCCACGTGCTTATGGCTTCTGTCCTACCACAATGATGAATCCCCTCAGTGACGCAGTAACTTAACCGGTGAAATACCACCGTGTGCCTCTGCTCATATTGCACAGAAGGGTGTCCCCGATACAAACGCCCCCTCCATATGTATATTAGCGTACAACTTGTGTGTCTTTATCCTCTGGGGCATTCTTTCCCCTCGGTCGTGTAGTAAGTACGGGCGGGCAATCAACTGGGTGGTGAACTATCAATCAAAAGGGTAGCTTGTCATCCCCTCAGCCGCTTCCCACCGAACTGCAACACAACCCAACGTTGCACAGTTTTCTCCATTTTTACCTCCCATCAGAGTTCTCCCGCAGCTCAAAAAGGGGGGAAAGAAAAGCCCACTCAATGGGCTCCTTACACATGTTCACTTGTTCGCTTCCTCCTCTCTCGTGACATCTTCTCTACATGGGTGGTCATTCCCCCCATACGCCCAGAAAACGGACAGCACTGTAAATCACAAAAAACGAGACTTGTCGCGATGAACATTGCAAACTATGCGCTAAAAGAAACGAAAGAGAGGGAACCCCCCACCTTGCGCTTCCAAACACCTGGTGAGATGTATAGAAAAGGAAAAATGTCACGACCGTGAAACTCTAAGATAAAAAAGTATAGGGCACAATCCAAAAAAAAAAAAAAAAAAAAGTGCGCCTTTGTTTATAGCCTATACCCGTTTTCTTTTTTATGCGTACAAAAATTGTATTCTTTTTTTTTTTCTTTTCTTTTTGAAAAGTACGCATTGTAAGAGGGAAACATTGAGAGGACGCTAAAACGTGTTTTCCTGCAATAAGGAGAGTGATGTAGGCACCTTCTGAAGTGCCAAGTCTACGACGGCGAAGCGTGAGCTGGGGCCCCGCGAAAGTGCCAAGTGTACACCTTGAAGCGGGAAAATTTGCCGTCATTTTTGTTGCCAATTTTGTCGCCACCTTCGCCGTCATTCACCCCACGAGGAACAGCGTAACATAGGGGTAACATTAGCGTAACATCTGCGTAACATCTGCGTAACATCAGCGTAACATCGGTGTAACATCTGCGCCACTGCCCATCCCAGCCGAAGACCGCCCGCGCAACGCCAGGAGCAGCGCGCACTCAGCATACAGATGTATACCTACCTTAACGAGGAAACAAAACGTAAAATCCCCACCATAGCTCAGCCATGACCACTTACAATGTCCTCGGAGAAATAACCGCGTTTGATGAGAAGGAGACCGTCATTTCGCATCAGTATGCAAGAATTAGGAAAATAGAGAATGTCGAAAAGTGCAAAAATTTGAAGGTGCGTCTGTGCGCACTCGCCGGAGTATACCTCCCGGGGGAAGATATCCCTTCTGAACGGGGGCATACATGATGACATGCTCCCATTTTGGACCTACAGTCTTGCATAGATCTGTCTCATACTTGCAGCTGCTTCCCACGTGTAAATGTCTTCCCTCCCGTCAAACTCTGGCCCCTTCCCTGCCACGCAGACCCTGCAGCTGATCTCCAACTGCATCGAAAAAATCGAAAATTTGGAAAACAACGTGGAGTTGGAGAACCTAGAACTATACGAAAATTCGATTAAAAAAATAGAAAACATTTGCATGCTCACAAATTTGAAGTAATACTTCCACTTGGCTACTTTGTCTGTTTGGCCTTTCCTCGGCCACTCACCTCAGTGTGCACACATATATATATGTCCGCGTGTATGTATGAATAAACCCCACGCAAGGAACCCCTCCTTCCCCGCAGAATACTCGACCTCTCCTTCAACAAAATTCGGATCATTGAGAACATCGACACGCTGGTAAACCTGGAAGAGCTGTACCTGTCAAGCAACAAAATCGCAAAGGTAAGTGGGGACCTCTAAGAGAGAGCGTTTTTTCCGCCTGTCCCCAGGCCCCTCAGAAGGGGCACAAGGTGAAGAAGTAGAAACCTTGGCAATGTAAAACCTTGACAGTGCAAAACGGGCATAAAACACAGCCGTGACTGTGCACATAGGACTCACGGCAACGGGCATGGTCATTTGCACAACACCCCGCGCGATGATGTCTGCCTTTACACCTCCCCACCGCCACCCCTCTTCCAGATCGAAAACCTCCAAAATTGCAAAAAACTGAGACTGCTAGAATTGGGCTACAACAAAATCAGAAAAATTGAAAATCTGGAAAGCCTGATAAACCTGGAAGAGCTGTGGCTGGGAAAGAACAAAATAGAAGAGATGAATTTGCCGAGTTTTCCAAAATTAAAGAAGCTAAGCTTACAACATAACCGATTAACCAACTGGTCCGTAGAGGCTATTAAAAACATCCCACAAGTCACTGAGCTTTATCTCAGTTACAATAAATTAACTACCATCATAGAAAACATAAAAGCGTTGAAGCACCTGAAGGTCTTCGATCTGTCTTACAACGAAATCGGAGATATAGTAACCTGTTCAGAGTTGAAATCTTTGGAAGAGCTGTGGTTAAATAACAACAACATTGATAGCATCGATATGATTAGAAATCTCCGTGAAAATGATAACTTAAAAACGCTTTATTTGGAAAAGAATGAAATTCAGGACAAGCTGAAGGAAGACTACAGGACAGAGATAATTTCTATCCTTCCGCAGTTGAAGCAGCTTGACGCGCTGCTCATTTCCCCGATAAAGGTGTGCCGCGGCCAGGCCACCGCAGGAAAAACACAGTGATGGGGAGCCTTTATGCCTAGATGCCCTATGTCGACAAAAGTGCTGTTCGGATTTTTCCTCCGGGAACATAAACCACGACTTACGCCCAACACACCCGACAAACTCGAAATGGCAACACGGATAAAATGATATTCCTTAACGGAAGGGGGGGGGGAAGTTCACAAAGCGTGTTACGTATAACCCGCTTCCTTTGTTTTGTACAGAATTTAAGTTCAACCGATTTGCCGGTAGGGGCCCGCCCTGTAATGACGCTTAGCATATTTTCAGGCTGCGGCATAAGTGTTTAGTGCCCCCCCCTTTTTCCCAACGAGGGAATCGCGTCTCTTGAGTGCAGATATGGCCACAGTGCAGGATTTTTTTCATCCCGTTAGCGGCTGAACCGCATAACTGCGTAGCCGCTTAACCTCTTAACCGCTCTGCGTAGAATGGATCAGTTTGACAAACACATTTTTTCGTTCCCTTTCTTCGAAGTCATATTTTGTTTTGCCCCCTGCGCGAGGCGCACCTTTGCATGTATATATAAGCCTACACATATGTACACTCCTGCGGGGGGACCCCCCTCGGATGGAAGCAATCCAGAAAGGAGGAAGTACAGAAAAGGTGAAGGGGTAGCGGAGGTCAATAAAAAGAGAAACTGACAAAGTAAAGAAAAGGACAAAGTAAAGAAAATGACCGAATAGAGAAAACCATAAAGTACAGAAGACGAACGCGAAAGCGAACATCTGAGCCAAGACAGAAAAAGAAAACGCCCTTTTTCGTCGTACCTTATAAATAATGCCCCCCTTTTGCTCGCCATATCTGTGCGCCACATAAACCATTTTCCACTTTCCATTTCCCTTTTCAAAGTCAAATCGTTCTGTACGTTTGTTCTCTCGTTTCGACAATCTGCATATTGCATACTACATATTCCATATTGCTTTTTTTTTTTTTTTTTTTTTTCGAAATTTATTAAAGTGTCATAATTCCCCCCTCTACAATGCTGCAAATGGCCAAAAGGTTGAAAAAAAGAAAAAAAAAAAACCTGTTGCAATGATAAAAAAAATGCGTTCCCACCACCCAAAAGTTAACGTAATTGCCCAGTGCGAAGAAGAAAAACGTGAGCGTTCCATTTTTATATATATACCGATATGCGCGTTGCCCCAGAGCAGATGGTCATAATTAAAATTAGCCTATTCCCACCCCATTCCCGTACGTTAACATTCACAAGGAAAAGAGAGAGTGCTCTCTCCCCGAATTGACGAATTGAAATTCGCCTCCTGCACGGGATTGGCCAGAAAATATCGACAGTGAAAAACTCGCTTTTTTGCATTTTTCCCCCTTCACCAAAAGTGTTGCGCTGACAAGGCCCCACACCCATGAGAAGTTAAAATGGACTGATAAATGAAGCCGTCACTTCGGAAGTATACGTGCATCCAGAGAACGATGCGTAGAGTAGAATTCGATTCCCAATCAGCACATCCGGAGATACACCTCCAAAACGCGTAGCCAATTTTGTTGCGTAACTTCCAACGAAGTGGCTATCTGTGCGCAGGATGAAGGTCAGGAAGAGAAGTCCTCTTTGCAAAAGGTACCCCCAAACAGATAACGACGAGGACCATGATAGGAGACTCCTCGACGAATACTACAGGGCAATTCCGGGCCTCGAACTACAGATAGAGAAGTTACTTCAAAGTTTCCACGTCAGTAAGTACGACTATAAAATTACTCACCTTCTGATCGACATAATACAAAATGAAACGATAAAAATTCTGAGGCATGCCAAAAATATAAAAAAGAATGGCATCGATAGGAGACTTTTGATTAAGGCTGACCCAACAAGGAGGGAGGATAAGAAGGAGGATCATATCAGTCCCGATTTGGTGAGAAGCTTCAATGATGGCGATGGCACAAAGAAGGATGACGCAAGTAAAGGAATGACTGAAGGTCATCAAAGAACGGACCAAAGTAAAGAAACTACAGACATCCCAAAGGATGCATGCGGGGCTGATTCTAAAGGTGGAGTGATTGACGATAGGACAGCACAGGCAGTGTCACCTGCAATGGCAGCCACCCCGGCGAATGAGCGTGACGGAGAGGTGGATAAACACAATCCGAGAAATGACATCCAAGAGGGAGACAGCGCAGGGATCCATTTAGGCATTGGTACCCAACACAGCGCAGACGATCCGGTGACCCAAACGGAGGAGCAGAGTCAGGACAAGGATCGCCTTGCTGAATTGCGATGTGGGGTAGAAGACGGCACGAAAGAGGAAGCCGCAGGGGGGGATAAAGAACAAATCCAAGCTAATTTTGAAAATGGAGAGCAGAAGAAACAGGTGGATGTTGAAGAGGGTCAGCAAAAGGTGGAAGCTGACACCGTCCAGATGGGGCAAACTGAACAAATGGGCCAAACAGGGCAAACAGGGGGAACACGCCAAACCGGGCAAACCGAGCAAATCGACCAGACCGGCCAAACCGCCGAAGACTTCACCATCTTCAGAACCTTTTCGAACTACTTTTCCAAAAAAGTTAAACCAAATGAGGAGGAAGGAGAAGCGCCTTTGAGCAAAGAAGAAACGAACGCGCCAGACAAATCGGGTAACGATGAAAGTAAAAATAGAGACGCAATCGAAGGCGCACCCAAATTAAACAGCTCAGAGGATAAAGCGGTTGGCGAAGGCACAGAACAAGTACACCCCGAGGTGAACAGCCCTCCGAACGAAATTCAAAATAATGTAAATCCTAGTGATGACCCAGTAGATACTGGAAGCCATTTTCTGAATGATGAAAAGAACAATGTGAAGGAGGAGACGGATGACACCACCAAAGGAAGGAAGGTGCCCCATGGGATGAGTAGCAGTGGTCAAATTTGGGATGCAGGGGATGATGTAGGAATGGCCCCTAATAGGGACCAAATGGAGGAAGGAGGAAAGGTGAGCAGCCAAGTTGGGGGCGACCTATCGGCAGAGAAGCCAAGCAACCAAGTTGGGATGGGCGTGTCGGAAGAAAAGGCCCCCACGGAGGAACCACAAAATGGTGGTGAAAATGATGGTGCAAAAGACCAGGCAGAGCAACCAAAGAACCAACCCACCAACACCACCACCGAACAGGAAGAAGTGCTTGTTATAGACGAAGAAAGCATCAACCTAGCCATAAAGGAGTACGTCCTAAAGTACATTTATAAAAAGAAAAACGTAGATTTCCTGTACGACGAATTGGCAACTCAACAGAAGGAAAGTAACTCGGCGGGCATAGTAGACAGGAAGATAAGATACCCAACTGGATTCCCCCCCTACCTGCCAGATGACTGCTCCATTAATACCATCCTCCCTGCGTGGGACATAAAGTATAATTTTAATTCCTCCAAAGGGGAAAATTACCAATGAGTTTTTTTTTTTGTGCATTTGGATTAGGGGGAAGAGGGCAAAACGGAGCTGTGGCAATTTACACAGCGTGACAAACATTATGTGACAAAACGGGGAGGGGTTATCGAGTTAATCGTCCATTTGTGACTTCCTCGTGGTGGCAAAAGGAAGCCTTACAGTCGGAACGTCCACAGTGGAGCTACTTTATGGGAAGCACTCTCATTTTTTTCTCCATATGGGTAGTATAACATATCCCTTTCTTTCCACATTTTTGCATCCCCTCTTTTTTTTTTTTTTTTTTGTACCCCGTGCCTCCCCCCACCACGGTTTCACTTCTACCTAAGGGAATGGTAATCCCCCGAAGGTGATCACGCGGGAAGAGTAGAGCAACCCGCACACAGACAGACAGACACGCATAATCCCTACAACCGAATCGTGTTAACCATCTGCATAATGCCGAGCACAAGCTCGAGGCCAATTATGACGATGATGATGCGCTCCAAACGGGAGGAGTGCTTCTGATTTACGTAGTCCAAGAAGGAATTCAAATAATCCAAAGTCCAACTCAGTCTATGATTGAGTAAATCAACCCTCTGCTTTATATCAAAAATGTGTAGGATGTTTAAGAACAGCTTTTTCTGATACTCCAGTTCCCACAGCGCTTCTGGGACGTCCAGAATGTCCTGGTCAATATTCAATTCATATCGCAAATTGTGCAGAGTAACTTTGGAGGTAAATAATTGCTTTGATAAAAAGTCTAAGTTACTTGACTTGATTTTCTTTTTTAAATTTTCGATATGATCATTTTCGTAAAATAATTTTTTCTCAATTTTCTTTTCTAAATTATTTAATCGGACGGCACTTAGAAGCCCAAAAGAAATGGCTATCTTATCCGTCGTCCTGTAATTATTTGAAGTCAAATAAATCACCGAGTTATTCACGTAACTTTTGTTACTTATATTTTCTACTTGCAACTCTTCAAAGTCATAATTCTCAATGTTACTTCCTGTTAGGTTTAGAAATGGTCTGCAGAAGTGAAAGAATTTATTTCTGTTTTGCTTATTCATGCTCCATATGACCATGCACCCATTTTTAAAGAATACTGCTGAACTATCTTGTTGGTTAAAATATGCACAACTTTCCACGTACAAATAGGGCTCTTTGTACAACACTTGCGACCCCACTTTTTCGTATGCGCTTTTCAGGGCTGACAAATTGATTGGGTTGTTTAAATAGTACGCTATTACATACGGCTCTGCTCTGTCGCAACTTTCGTCTACGAACGGCTTGACTGTGCCTAGGAGCCTCTCCCTTTTCGTGATCTTCTTCTGCGTGTATATTTTGCTACTCACCTTTTCTTTACTGGAATAGTTGCACATGAGTTGCCTCCACATGCACGTGCGCTTGAGGTGGCCTCTCCCCCACTGCAGCGTGTGCACACTCCTGCCGATAAACATGGTGGAGGCGGAAGAAAATACGCAACTGCAACAGTGGCGGTGCAGGAATATCCCACCTCCTACACACACAGGGAAAAATTACACGCGGTGAAAAGTCCCTCCGCGAAATTGACCAGTATTATCCTCTCGATTTAGTAGTTAAAAAATGGTAAAAAAAAGGGTAAAAAGCGGTAAGAAGATGTAGCAAGAGGTAAAACGACGTAACAAGAGGTAATAAAGTCTATCCCTTGCCCCCCCCTCTCTTTCCAACTGTCAGCACCTTATCGTGTCCAAAGTACTGTACGGGGGTTCCCTCGAAATGTTACACCCCATCAATGTGGGTCACTCCCCTCGGATGGCATTTTTCTTTTTTGCACCAAGTTCCGCCGCTTCACAGCTTCAGTCTCCCTCCTCTTTGCTTCTTTGCCTCTTTGCGCGCATGTCTCTTTTTGTCCATTCGGAGTTGAAAGAACAGAAAAAACGGTTGGCTCCCCAAACTTTACATTTACACCCGCTATTTTGGGAATCTCCAATGCAAAGTGTTCTACTTTGACCATGGCCGAAGTAGAGCAGTCGCACCCTCCCCCCCCCTTTGTTGACATGTTCGGCCCTACTTGCCTATATATAGTACGCGCCAGCTGGGGAATCTGCCCAGAAAGGCAAATCTGAAAATAGTTACGTACAGCGGCGGTGCGGACACAAGTAGTGCTACACCTGTCCCAATGTATCATGTGTTATGTTTCATACATTATGTGTATTTTTTTTTTTTCCCCCAACCGTGGTGAACATGCAAAGTTGCGCATAAGGACCAAAACAGCAGAACCGCGCAATCCCATACGTTCTGCAAAATAATGGGTGAAGGTACACAAAGGTAGCTCACAAAAAAAAAAAAAAAAAAAAACCAAGTTGACGGTGGTTTAAAAAAGGGTCCAAATGAAGGCCGATCGAGTGAAAAATAACCCAGCGGGAAGGTGCAGGCGAAGAGCGGCGGCCATTTAACGCAGCAAAAAAAAACACAGCAGAAAAGCGCAGCACTGCGAATTGTGACGTAAAAATAAAAAAAAAAAAAAACCCAGTGGAGAGGACTCCAACGAGAAAGGCGAAAAATGCAATTATCATGAAGAGGAGGCACAAATGCACAATATTATGTATACATAATGACCAAGGCCCAAATCAACACCAGAGTCATTTCACTTTTGCATCAATATGATGCGATGGAACATAAGGCATACTTTTTAATGTTTCTTTTTTTTTTTTTTTTCCTCATTTGGGGAATAAATATTGCCGCAATTCGTGAGAATAAGCAGAACTGTATCTCATCTGAATAGGAAAAATGAAAAAATGAAAAGTGAAAAATGAACAAATGAAAGAATGCATTTTTCGTGTACGTCATGTGACCTACTTGGAACATTAAAAGGTAAGAGCAGAGAGGCACCGCGTGTATATACATGAAAGGGCATATACATATATATACAGGTACATTCTTATACGTGCCATATGTACCTTTTGAACCCGTTCGTTTGACTAATGGAGCGTTTTTCTTTTCTCTCTCCCACACAGCTAACAGTTTCCCTTGTAGTCGAATTCACGCCTCCCCATTTTTTTCGAAGGCCTACATGTGTGTACACACATAACATGTGAGATATACCAGTGCTGAGTCGCTGCTCCCTTTCGTTTTCAGTTCATTACTGCTCGTCAGGCAGAGCCTGTTACACGTTCTTAAGGGTGTAGTTAGTACTATGCGCTTGGCCACTCACTAGTGGAGAATCCCAAGGCGACACCGCGAAAGTAGAGGTGCGCGGCATATCAAGGTGTGCGACATATCAACGTGCGCGACGACGCCCACCTCCATGGCCACCGCCACCTACCGCCACATTACATGAGTCGTACAGAATAAAATGGATATATCCGGGCCGGATGTTTGGTATGGAAACTTACCAAATGTAACGAAATATTTAATAACCCTAATTTTTTTAGTGACCCTTCTCATAACATGCAACTTGCTAAATGTTGTGTACCTTTTGCTGGACTGGAATTTGATATATAATAATTACCAACTATGGAGGATATTTCTTAACTTTATGTACGTGGGAAAGTTTTCTCTTTCTTGGGTTTTTTTTATGTCTTTATTGTCCCAGTTTTCTTCCTCCCTCGAGAAGAATGCAGTATTTTCCAGCCCAGGATCATATTTGTACTTCATCACAATTCAGTGCACCTTCTTATCGCTGATAAGCATTCTGTTTTATTGGCCCAGAGGTAAGGCATCGCCATGCAGAGTGCGAAGCGGCAACAGGGAAGAAACACGTGTGCAGCTTTAACCCGTTCCGCGCTGTATACCTTCCTGTTGTGTCTCCCCGTTGAGGCATTTTTACCCCCGTGCCCTGCTGCAACGAGGACGAAGTTAAATGTGTGCAGCTGTTTGTTTTGCTTACTTTGCTTCTTTTGGTCATTTTGATCATTTTCTTCATTTTCTTCATTTTGTTCATTTTGCTCATTTTGCTCATTTTGCTCCGTCTCGCGTTTCTCTTTCCCCACCCCGCAGGCTATCCCTTCTTGGGAAACTCCCTTTTGTTCGCCATCATTTACTACTGGTCCAGGAGGGAGGCCTGGAGCCAAGTGTCTATTTACTTCTTCACAGTGAAGGGCTACCAGTTGCCCTTCGCACTTATCTTCCTGCACCTTATCATGGGACAGTCCCTCTGGGTGGACATTATGGGTCTCATGTCCGGACATTTCTACTACTTTTTCAGAGACCTTCTCCCAAGGGAAGGTACGCCACGTGTGTTTACGCGTAAAAGTGCATGCAGATGCTCTGCGGGGAGAGTTCCTCCCGGGGAGCGCTTTTTTATGACCTTTTCAGGCAAATAGTCGTCATTTTGTGAAGCGGTCGCGATTTTCTCGGCACGTTGATTCAGCTCTTTCACGAAGCGTCGACGGCTTTGTTGCCATATAACCGTGTTTCCCGTTCCTTCCCCCCCCAACTTCGCAGGAGGACCAAATTTGCTCGAAAAGACGCCCAAGATTTTCGATAAAATCATGATGAAGCTGAGGGAGTTCCGCCTAAATCAGGGAATAAGGGGAAACTTCTCGAGGTACGGATACAGAAGTGTGAGTGACTCCAGGACCCCCAACACTGCCGAGCCCACAAGGAGAGTCTTCATTGGTCGGGGAGTCAGACTAGGTGACAATTGACGTTGGTGTATTCATATATCTTGGAACTGTCTCGCAGGGATAGTTGGATAGTGTCTTGTGCGCATTCTTTTCCCTGTGTCTATGGGGAGGGGGTTCACCCTGGTGTATGTGCTCTCCCCCTAATTAGCTTACTTCCCGGGGAAGTAAAAAATCTGGAGTGAAACATACCGTTACGCGTGGGTGGGGGTATGCTTACAGGGATGACAACTCGTACAGGCCAGAAATAGTACATATATGTGTACATATTTTTTTTTTTCTCCCTTTTAACATTGTTTTCTGTGTAATTTAAAATGACCACTACATTTTGTGCAATCTGCTCATTAACCTAATTCTGATTTTCGTGCTGATAATTTTTTTTTTAGCCTACAGGCGCCCTCGTGTTTTACGTTGTATTTATGTGTGCCAATTACAGTTGTATCACATGTGCGCCTCTCCCGGTGTCCTCGCGCTAGTAGCCTTCTTAATACTGCCCCTATCACCCCTATGTTGTGCTTCTATCAAAGTATTACACTCCATACGTCTTTTTTTTTTTTTTTCTTTCCATTCTCTGCAAATTTATAGCCCAAGGTTATTGCACCATAACTGCTATTTTGCTGCATACCACTTTGCTACTTTTTTTTTTAAGCCATTTGTTTAACGTAATTTTCAAAAAGGATGAATTTATCTGCACATATTTTTTTTCAATCCCATTTGCTAAAATGAGATGCGTTTTGGTTAACCCCGGCGGTCGGTGAAGAATTGTGCAGCTTTGAAAGACGTGGAGAGGCATCTACGCGCCCAGTGTTGCACATTTCGTGAGGATTTTTTTCTTTCTTTCATCTCAGATGATATAAGCAAAGAAGAAACCAATCTTCTACACATCGTTCGGTTTTACACAAATGAGAGAAAAATTGACCATTCCTTTTTTTTTGGGGAAACTCCCCCGTTGAGGAAATCTTTAACTTCAATCTTTGCGCGGTGCGTATGACGACCCCTATGGATCGTTTTATACCCTTCTAAGGTGACCCCTTTAACCAAGCTATTTTGAGGAGCCCATTCTGGGGAATCCATTTTAAGTGTTTAAATTTCTGGGGAATAAAAAGATGGCCTTTTTTTTTCCCTACACGGACTCCATTGGAATAGATTGGTGACCCCTCTCAATTTAACCTCATTAGCGAATACCATTTAGAGATTTGCCTACATAGAAGAAGCAAAGGGTAAACATAAAAGGGTCTGTTGAAATCCTTCCTAAGAGGCGAATCACATGTTCGGTTGCATGCACGACAGTGCTGATCTTTGCTGCGCATGGGGAGCTCGCTTCGTAGTATGTCCGTCACTTGTTAGCGGGACCCCCACCCCTTAAGCGGCAACTGCAGGGGACCGGGACGAAAGGAAATGTGGGCGAGATTTACACAAGAGTGTTTCTGTCCAGGTTTAGTACACTAGGTGTTGCTACGGCATATGTATGTGTATCTCCCCCACGACAGTGTCTCCCTGGTGCGGTGGAGAATACGAAAAATTGGGCCGCCTTCACCGTCTTCACCGCGAGCATTGTCAGCGGCCCCCCCGATTACCCTTCCCAGTGATTGCGAGCCATCAGAGGTTACACGCATGAATGATGGGGCCACTAAAGACCGACCCACTGAAGGGAAACGCGGAAAGGATAAGAAGCCTCGCCTACCGGAAGCAGAGAAAATGCTGCATCTGCATGGTTAGCGATTTTTTCTACCCAAACTTGGGAGGAATAGAAACGCACATCTTTGAATTGTCCAAGCAGTTAATAAAGAAAGGTAAACGCTTTATGAGGAGTTTTGGACAGCCCCCCACGCCACATGCGTCACAGCACTAGGGATGACACAGGGGGGTGCTCCTTCCTGAGGGGTGGCAATTACAGACACCAGTACAGACAGCGAGTATATACAGCGAACATATACAGCTACTACACACAGCCAGTACACACAGAGAGTTAATGGTATGCTCCCACCTTCCCCCCTCTTGGCAGGCTTCAAAGTAATCGTAGTGACCCACTGCTACAACAACCGACACGGAGTGAGGTGGATGGGAAACGGCATTAAGGTTTACTACCTGCCCTTCGAAACATACATGGACGTGGTGACCTTCCCTAATATCGTGGGGACGCTTCCCTTGTGCAGGAATATTTTGTACAGGGAGAAGGTCGACATAGTTCACGGCCACCAGGTTCGTCACCTGCCACGTTGGCGTAATCGCGGCAGTGATAGGCGTATCTCTGCGGGGGCCCCCCCAACATATGTGCAGACGCCTCCTTGGTCCCCCTCTCACGTGCACATGCATGGGGGAATCCATATATCCGTGCATACCTACAAACATTCACGCGTGTATGCTTTCATCCCCCCAGGCGACGTCCGCCCTGGCGCACCAGTTCATCCTGCACGCAAAATCCCTTGGACTAAAAACCATTTACACGGACCACTCGCTGTACAGCTTTTCAGACAAGGGATGCATCCACGTCAACAAGCTCCTCAAATATTGCATAAATGACGTCGACCATTCCATATGTGTCTCTCATACGAATCGTGAAAATCTCGTCCTAAGGACCGAAATCAATCCGTACAAAACATCCGTCATAGGTAATGCATTGGACACGACAAAATTTGTTCCTTGCATAAGCAAACGACCCAAGTCGCCAAGAATAAATATAATCGTGATTAGCCGACTGACGTACAGAAAGGGAGTTGATCTGATTGCCAAGGTGATTCCTCTCGTGTGCCAGAAGTACCCTTTTATCAATTTTATAATCGGTGGAGATGGACCCAAGAGAATTCTCCTTGAGGAAATGAGGGAAAGAAATCACCTGCACAATTCAGTCGTTCTCTTAGGAAAAGTGAAACAAGAAAATGTAAAAAATGTTTTGCAAACGGGACATATATTTTTAAATGCTTCTCTAACAGAAGCCTTTTGTATAGCCATTATCGAAGCGGCTAGCTGTGGACTTCTGGTCATTTCGACTGACGTCGGAGGTATTTCCGAGGTGTTACCTCACGACATGATGATTTTAGCCAAGCCCAATCATATCGACTTGTGCGCAGCGGTTGACACTGCCCTGGAAAGGCTAAAAGACGTCGACTCACAATTTTTCCATGAACGGGTACTCCACTTGCGGCACCCCATGTGTGCAATAATGTCCCAACGCAGGGGACAACACAAACTCAGACATATCCATATGCTTTAAAAAAAAAAAAAATTCCCCCCCCCCAACACAACAACTCCCCCCTTTGCAGCTAACCAAAATGTACTCGTGGGAAAAGGTCGCCGAGAAGACGGTACAAATGCATGTGTATGTGTGGGATGATGTGGACGGAAACCACCACATTTGTGCATGTCCCCCCTCTTGCAGTAAAGTACGCTCAACATATTCCGCAAAGAGAAATTTCACTGACCCATCCATGATGCCTGCATGCTCCCTCCATCGCAGGAGAAGGTCTACATGGACGTCCTTTCCTACGCGAACCCGACCATTCTGAGTAGGATCAAGAAGATATACGACATAAACACGGTTTTTAGTAAGCACCTGAGGGGGAAGAGCGGTGAGGGGGTATCGCGGGCGGAGAGGACATGCCTCCTCTAAGTAACCCCCCCAATTGCAATGATTTGCCTGAGGTGATCTCCCCCGTCTAGCAGCCCCCCGCAATGCTTCATTCGTCTTCACTTCTTTACAGGTAAGGTGTACATCTTCATAATAATGTTGAGCTACATAAGCTGCCGATTGCTGGAGTGGCTGAAGCCGAGGTAAGACGCCCAGTTGGGGTGCCCCCGTCCAGGGTGTGCACCAAGGGTATACAAGGATAAGCATGCAGAAGTGTTCATATGGATACACCCCCCCACATATGCACATAGATATGCTGTTACGTGGCTCCCCTGTGCTAGAGCACTCAATGCGCTTCGCACAGGAGTGCTGGCCTTGTTGCCAACTTGGTCTTTGTACCAAATTGCCTATCCTCTGCCAAATTCCTCTCCGCCTTTCGCATTTCCTATCAGTGATGACATCGAGGAGGCCATCAGCTTTCCCCATTTCATTGAAGAGGATTAGCCGCAATGGTTGCGAAGCGACAAGGAGGGAAAGCTACAAAGCGGCAACCAGGGAAAGCGACAAAGCGGCAACGAGGGAAAGCGACAAAGCGGTAAAAAGGGAAAGCGGCAAAGCGACAAAGAGGCAAAGGACCAAAGTGATGACCTGGCGAGCATTAAGTACACAACTGCCCAGTCCTCTCATCCACAACTTTCCCCCTCCCCCGTCTGTGCCCGCGTGGTAGAACAGTATGCCTCCGAATGAAACAAAAAAAATGAGGCACTGTGCTACAACACGGGGAGAGAGTGGGTCCAACAAAATGCTCACCCTCAGATGATGATGCCCCCTTTCCCGAATCTCCCACTCTATGCAGACCGAAAGCAACTACGCCTGCGACTCCAGCAAGTTAAACTCGTGCTGGATTATCTTATAATTAAGCACATAGTTAATATTGTACTGGGCTCTGTACTTGAGAGGAAATTGCCTATACTTCATATCCATGTAGTTAATAAGCAGCACTTCGTAAAGCTGGTTGGTCAGCTCGAGGTAGCCATGTTCATAGTTGTACTGAATGATGTTCACGTCAATGAGACCAAGCAAGATGGGATTATTTAGATTCAGAATATTTTTACAGAAGATTTTTTTCTTTTTTAAAAAGTATTTGATAGCTTCAAAAATGGTGAAGTAGAATTGGATATAGGTTAGTCCCTCCTTTGGTGTCTCCCCTTCAACTTGTTGCACTCCCCCACGGTGTGTGTCGTTTCCCCTCCTCTTTAGCCGCTCAACATTGGGGAGGCTAAAGAAAGTGCGTACTTTCCTCTCGAAGTCTAGGATAAATGTGTGTAGAATGTTCTCATGTATATTTTTTAAAAACCCTTTCTGCTGCTCCAACTTTCGATGTTGCACAATTTCTTCGATGGTGTTACTCCTTAGATTGATTTGGCTTTCTTCATCCATGTCGTAAGTAACGTTTTGCTTCTTTTCCATCTCAATTTTTTTCCTCATTTCGTCTTCATCAAATTGGCTATTCAGATCGTGTAACCCCTCACAGATTGTTTTTACTAAGTGGGCATTTCCCCCTATGATGTCATAAATACATTTGACCACCTTTTCGTCCTTCACATAATTAGGAATGATTAAGCACCTGACCATGTCGTAGGAAAGGTCGTTTATTTCGATTAGGTGCTCCCTTATGAGGTGATAGTTTTGCAGTTCCTTCCCTGCGTCGTGGAAGTTGGTGGGGAAGTGACTCTGCCCCATTGGGTTCCCATTTTGGGGTGATTTCTCTTCGTGAGCGCTTCTATCACTTCCACCGCTTCCAACCCTTGCAACCTGCTTCAACACCAGATTGTTGAAAACGAACACAAACTTCATCATCTCGATGTTCTTAATGGAGTGAAAAATGACGGGGACGTTGTGTCTGTCCACATTTTCTTCGCACCATTTGGCAAAAAAGTGGAAATTGCGCGCGGGCTGAGGACCCAAAAGGAAACAATGCAAATTATAGAAAACGAAACAGAAATTGTATCCATATGTCTTCCGTAAAAAGTTAATTAAAGACAAAAAATAACGATAAAGGAATAGCCCACTGGAGAAATCGGTAAGTATTCCCTCCGAGTTGTCCATACAGTACTGATACTCTTCACACTCTGCCAACATTTTTAAAAAATATAAAAACGCGCTGAATTGATTGAGCTGACGGATAAAACATTTTACATTTAATTTTCTCAAAAGGATGCTTAAAAAGGAAAGAAAATCATCATATTTGTAGTTTGTCATCTCCAATAAGTTTATCCACCTTGCGATGTCCTTCCTGTCTTGGTCATTCAAATAATCATACATTTGAGGGGTGTTTAATATGTGTTTGAATAGGATTGGGAATTTGGCAAAAAGGGGGTCTTCTCTTTCGTTTACTCTTTCCCCCAAGATGAACTGCTCATAAATATCGCTCATATTTATCCTTCCATTTGCCACGTCGCTGTTTATTTCTTTCATCAGTCTGTGTCTTAGGAACTCATCCAATTTGTGCAACTTCACGGAGAAGGGGATCACCGATTCGTTTTGGTTTATGTCCTTAAAGTCGTACTCGAAGAAAATACTTCTTCCGGTTGCATCGTTTCCTCCATGGAGTTTCACCCTGTGGGAAACACCATTCTGGTTTCCTCCTCGGGGGGGATTTCCATTTGACTCGCTCCCCACATGGGGTTGCCTTCTTAAAAACATGTCCTTCGCCTTGTGTATGAAAAACTTCTTCCCCACGCCTTCTGCCCCCAAGACGAAGTAACAAGGATAGGGGCGTCCCCGAGCCTCTCCTCCGTTACGCCGAGGAGGAAAATTCTGCTCTCCAAAAATGTTCATAATTCTTTTTATATAATCCTGCCTAACAACCGTTTTCCACATTTCTTTAAAGCTTTGCTTCCCTTTCGGTGCACATCTCTGCCCGACATTTGTGCTGTATTGGAGATGGAAGTGCCATGGCCCCTTCTTCCTCTTGCGGAGCACCATTATCCTCCCCAGCTTGTTCAGTTGTCTCATCAGCTTCTCGTTACGACACAGCATCGTGTGGCTCTCATCCAGGTTTTCCCCTTCGGTTGCCTCATCGGGCGATATGCCCCTTCCTGCGAATACGGCGTGTGCTTCTACAGCTTAGGTACGCACGCTTATGCAGTGCTTCATGCGGGACAGGCTTCCACATTTCTCCTTTTCATTATTATCAAATTGGGCGCGCTTTATCAAAAGGGGCCAACCAATTTTTTTCTCCATCCACTTCGTGCGGTAAAGTTAAAAGAAAAAAAAAAAGGCCAGGTGAATCGCCTCTCCACAAAAGAGAACACATTTGAAGAGCGCACACAAATTGACTTCCCCCCAAGGTTCTTTGAATTTTCTTTTTCTTTTTTTTTTTTTTGCAACGTGGTAGGCAAATAAAGTATGTTCCTCCTGGGGAGGAGTGGAAAAGAAAATCGCCAAACGGGTTTCTCAAAATGGGGGTAAAGGTGCACAAAAAAATTGCCAAAGCGATGGTTGATCGTATGGCCGACCAAATCGTGTGACCCTGTTGATACATTTTCGTGCACCTGTGATGGGCACAAATTCGCAGCTGCGGAAAAAGGAGTACACTCCTGGTTATGCACTCCCCTGGCGCTAATTACCACAACGTCGTTTTTTCCATTTCCAAGGATCCCCCGATCTTTTGTGAGACTTCTTCCTCGTTGTGTATCCCGCATGTTAACACTTTGAGAACTTCAAAAAAAAAAAAAAAAAAAAAAAAAAACATTATTCTGCTCAAAATTGTGAGATGCTTTTTGCCAAGTCGCCTTCGTTTTACAAAATGGGAAATATTTCCACTACAGGGGTGCAATGAACAGGATTCGACAGCTTGACCAAGTGTGCGCAACTCACATGTGTTGTGTCCCAAGTCATTTTAAAACCCCCATTCGACACACCCAAGGGTAAATAGAAAAAGGAAAAGTACAGAACTTTAAGTAACACCGCTGTCCACCCCCCAAAATGAATGACTTCATGCATGAAGATATCGAACTGAAACACCGGGCGTGGGCCCTGCACTTCTCCGAAAGGCAAACCAACAACAAATTTAAGTTCGCCAAAAGGGGATGTAAAAAATACGTGACGACGTGGGTCAAGGTGTGACAAGCATTTCCAGTTCTTCTGCGCTGCAAGAGTGGACGCACCAATGTCTGCATGAGTGTCTGCGCAAGTTCATGCAACAATGGATGCCTGCGTGCGCCTGTTTATGCCCCCCCCCCCGCCCCCGAACTACACCCCACTCAGCAAAAAGACCAAACGGGTTTATTCGAAAGATGGGTGAAGAAGACAGAGCTAAATGAGGTACACTTGTTTTGGGTTTTTTTTTTCCTCTGTGTGTCTCTCTCTCCCTCAATCTGTTCATCATGGAGGGAGCAAACAGTTGAGTCATCCACCAAGATTCTTCCTCCCATCCTTGTCCCGTCTTCTCCTTCCACCTTTCCATTTGTTAGAAGTACAAACCGGAGGATAACCAGCTCGAAGGGCACAGCGATAAGGCAAAATTAGAGAGGTAAATTTCTTTTTTTCTTCCTCCTCTGCCTTCATCAGCCATTTTTTATTACACACGTAAAGAAAATTTTCCTTGTGTTAAAACCTTCAGTAGTTACAATGTGCGTCAGTGAAAAGGTCACGAAAAAAAAAAAGAAAAAAAAAGAGAAGTACATATCCACACGTCCTCTCGGAGTAAATCTACCTTCATGCCTGTTGCACGCTCGACCCACTCAGCAGAGAGGACCCACACATCACCCCCCAAAGGAACTGGACAAGGAGGAGCACCAGGATAAATTTACAAAGCATTCTTGACAAGGAGACCTACAGAAGATGCTATGTTGATCCCCCGAGCGATTTGTACGTAGAAAAAAAAAAAAAAAAAAAAAAAAAAAAATTTGTGATATGCCCCGTGTTTTCACGCGCCAACGTGTTTGCACCGTTTGAATGACGCAGCTCGGTGGAGGAGGACGAGGCAGAGCAGGAGAAGCAGGCGGAAGGGAACAAGGCGGAAGAGAAGAAGGAGGAAAAGAACAAGGCAGAAGAAAAGAACCCCGCAAGCCAACGCGAGATGGAACACCGAAGCGAACCAAACCCTAAGTGACGATGAACAGGTCAGTTTTGCGCATGCCGGACAGGAATCCAGACCGTTCGTCCGCCAAACCAGGAGAAGGCCTCCCCAGAAAAGAGGCAATCCTTTTAAAATAAGGGAACGTGCCACACTCCACCCCATAATAACCGAGCAGGTCCCATTTACGTAAGAACGCAAGCAAGCCTTGTACTCATTTGGTCATACAACAGGTGTATTTCGGTTGCGAACAGATCTGTGTCTGCACAAGTCAGTCTAGCAGAGAAGGCAGTGGAGAATATACATTCATCCCTCCTTTGTTGCAAAATATACCTTATATGTGCTACTGCCCGCATATGGGGGATTCACCTGAACAGAGGCGCGTCGCCATCCGTTTGACAGTGGGAGCCAGGAGAATTGCTCACTTCACTTCATCTCTGCCAACTTCTGCACCCCTCATTTGTGCAAAAAAAAAAAAAAAAAAAAAAAAAAAAAAAAAAAAAAAAAAAAATTAACAAAGTGACCGCAGAATAGCATTATATGACTTACCATGATTGTACGTGAGCAAAACAGAAAAAACATAACATATACAACCAGGTGAATGCTCCCAAAGTACAGGAGGTGGGGGGGTACGTCATCACTGCTTTTTATTATCCCCCGAAAAAGCCTCTGGTCTACACGGACAGATTGAAGTTAAAAAAAAAGGGGCACCTTTAAGCTGCAAAATTTTACATTCCATGTCTGGGACACGCGGCCCACTTGACTCATATTTCTTCGTTTCGCAAGGATCAAATTCAAATTGGGTTATTCACACGTGGTGGCATTTTAAACTGAAAAATGGGTGAAACAAAAGGGAACAATCTGCGACATGGCGAGGGTGTTCATCTGTTTGTGTGTTGGTGGGGGGATAATACATCGAAAAAAAAACAATAAAAAAAAATAAGAAAAAATAAAACGCAAAAATAAAGGTAGTGGTAAAACACAGCCGTAAAGGCAAACGCAGCATGGGTGCTGAAGCGTGAAGGGTGGGTAGCACATCGTGATGTGCGCAAATGGGCCCTCCATGTTTACTTAAAAAGGGACGTGGGCACTTTCGTGAACTACACGTGTACACATGTGTGCAGGCATGGATCATGTCGGGCACGTCGGAGGGTGGATATGCGCGGACATACGTCTTGCGTCTTGTCCTATGTATATACACTGGCATAAACCAACGTTTGATGAAAAAAAAAAAAAAAAGTGATGCGCGTGGTATGTCTGTTACACTCCGCAGAGTGCCGATTAAAAAGGGGAGTAGGGTGGAAAAAATGGCACAAAAAGAAATGAAAAAAAGGAGTAATAAATTGCATTAAAATGAAGAGGAGCAAAACAGACTAAAATCGTTTGAATAACGTAATTTGAGTGACCCTACGGGGCCAAAATAATCCAAACGACCAACACAGACACGCACGTGCAACGCGCCTGGAAGCTCGAGCAGGGCGAGCTACCATTTGTACGTTGAAAAAAAAAAAAAGAAAAAAAAAAGTTACATAATATTTTTGCTCGTCACCAACTTTTTCCACAACAAATTAACAAACTCGTCCGACTGCAAAGTCTCCCTGATGACGTTATGGATGGTGTTCCTGCTCAGAAGGATGCTCCTGTTTTTATAGTCCTCCATGCCGTTGTAGCTGTCCGTCCTCTCGTCTTCATACTTGAGCAGCTGCTTATCGTGGGGGATGTACCGTGGGTGGTTATTTCTCCCTGGCATTTCGCCCTCATCAAATGGGCCGTTGTGGCTACGGGTATCCAGGTGACTCCCGAGATGGCTTCCCAGTTGGCTTCCAAGATGGCTCCCAACGTGACTCCCCATCCGGTTGGTCATTCGATGGCCACTCTTAGCCCTCCTCTCTCCACTTCCACCAGCGCTCTGCATCTTCAACAACATGTCGTACGAATCAGTGTTGAAATCGTTTATGCCATCATGACCCCCGTGATGATTTATACCTTCAATCCCGTGCACCTGGTTCGCTCTGTCAGCTTTTTGCTTAATAATATCAAGCAAAGCATTTGTCATGTTTTTCTCATCGTCCATGCTTCCATTACTCATTTCGACCTCTTTGCTGTGAAGACTTTCGATGGAGTTATTCTGAAATGATGGTCTATCCAGGTAGGCTCTCTCCACGGGATGGTTATTGTTTAGGGGCTCTTCACTACGGTCTGATTTTCCCTTTGCGTAGTTGATGGCCTTCCCGTTTATCTCTTCCTCGTGGAACGGGAGCATCTGCACGTCGTTCCCTTGCGGGTGATTCATCTGCAACTCGTTATGCGGAAGTTCGTTATGCGGTATCCCGTTAGGCGGGAGTCCATTAATGGGAACCCCATTCATCACCATTCCATTCATCTGCATTCCATTCGTCTGCATCCCCCTTAGCTGCATCCCCCTGAGTTGCATCTCCCTGAGCTGCATCTCCCTAAACTGCAACTCCCTCAGTTGCATCTCCCTAGGATGAAGCCCTCTGGTTTGCATGTTGCCCTCGAGCTCTTTGGCACCAAGCACGTTACTCATCTGGGTCATTCCTTGGCTATCACCGCTAGCAACGGCGCTGACACTGGCATTCACAACTGCAGTTCCATTGGCACCCCCGGCGGCGGGGACTTCCCCACTTCCGCCTTTCTTCTTCTTTTTCTTCTTCTTATCCTCCGCCTGGTCCTCCTTCACGTCGCCGCTCTTGCTCAATCCAAGTAGGTTCATGATGGCTTCTCCTCCGGAAATGGCGCTGCCCTTGTCATTCGTATAGCCGCCATCATCACCACCTCCTCCTCCCTTTGGATCCATCACAACAGGGTTGCTCGTTCCACCTCCACCACCCCTTGGCATATCTTCGCTCTTTCTATCCTCGTAAAAATCATACCCTGGGAACTTTTTCAAATTATGGCTTCCGTCTTGGACGGCCCTCTCATCGCCCCTTTCACCTTCCATGGGCAGCCCCTTAATGAGGTAGAGCAATTTCCTTCCAGCCTTGTCATTAAAATCGACGCTGTTTTGTTGCGCCACCCCTTTCACATTCGAATCGCATCCAGCGAGGTCTTCCTCCCCAGGGGCATCCTTCATTTTGCTTCTCTGTCCAATGGCCTCCATCCCGTTCACGCCTCCGCTTCCAGCTCCACTACCCTTATATAAGTGCTTCAAATAATTCCCATAAATCGTGTTGGCAGCTCCTGGGGGTATATGTCCCCCCTCACCCAGGGGGAAGTTCATCTTCGCATATAAATTCTCTAGCTTATTATTCCCAATCAATTCAAAACTCTTTTCATAATCGTTATCTCTGCCACTGTCTTGTGCCATCATGGGGATGACGTTCTTTGCATTTACCTTTCTCTGCACGTTGTTCTCCCCGCCGCTGACCACCCCTACGTGGTTCGTCCCTCCCTTGAGAAGGTCCTCGTTGTGTCCATTCATTAGGACGTTCTTGGACGAAGAATCGTTCGGTTTCGCTCCGATAATCGATCCTCCTCCTGTTGCGATTCCTCCTGCCGCGATCCCTGCTATCGCAGATCCTTCGTTAACGCTACTCTCACCTTTGGACAGTATAAAGTTAATATTTTTACTGTGTACATAGCCGACATTGGCGCCAGTCGCAACGCCGCTAATGTCCGAGCTTCCCAGATTAGCGGTGCCACTGACGGATGGAGAAACCGCCCCTCTGTCCACTAACTCTCTCAGCATACTATATATCTTCTCCTTTTCCTCGGTGCTATAAAACCACAAACTGTAGGTACTCTTCAGGTTACTCTCTTCATTATGTACTCGATAAAAAATATAATTTTGATCTGTGGACAAGTTGAAACGTCCGTGGATGTCCTGTACTAAATGGTTTTCGTTTTTTTTGTTTGTAATTATAAGTCGGTACGTTGGCTTTATGGACCTCCTAACGATGTAAAGGAAACCCTCAATGTCCGCTCGAACCCATTTTAGTTCATCTTCCTTCATTTTGTACACGGTAACAAATGACGACTTCATGATTATTTCCGTGATGTATATATCTATGCTTTTGAGCATTTTAAAGCATATTTTTTCCCTCAACAGACTGACTTCTTCGTTTAAATTCTCGTCTCTGTTTCCTTTCCGCCCTGTGTTTTGCCTTCTGCCTCCATTTGCGTGACTCAAATTGGCTCCACTGGGGTTCACCCCAATGGCGTTAGCCCCGTTTGCGTTATCCCCACTCCCTTTTGTGCCACTCACAATGGGCTTATACGCTCCTGCTTCGCGGGTAGCCTTACTATCCGGGACACCGGCGTTGTTCGTGGTCGCCTGACTACTTCTCCCCTCACCGTGTGCACCACTGTCGCCTGCGTGACCCGCACTCTTCATGGAACCTTTCATTTTCTCCTTGTGCTCTCCAACTTTCTTGGGGCCGTACGCGTTGTAATCATACGGATAGGCGCTCTTAACATATTTTGTCGCCTGCGCATGGTGGGGATTTCCTCCGCCACTGTTCTGGGTGCTGTTCTGAGTGCTATTATGAGTGCTATTATGAGCGTTATTATGAGTGTTATTATGAGTGTTATTATGAGTGCTATTCTGGAGGTTACTCATCGCGGTGCTATTCACTGCGCCATTGGCGGCCTTACCGACGGGGGGCGCCTCCGCCCGACTCTTCTTCCCCTCCCCCGGAGTACCTCCTCCTGGCACCTTTCCACCATTCTTGGACTCATTAAAATTGTAGGAACCATTCATATCATAACGGTTCACACGGCTTTTCACCTTGCCGTAGCTAGTGGTCGCCGCGATATTTTTTTTTTTCATTTTGTGTATATGGCAATTTAGGCCGTACACGGGATGGAACGCATATAAGTACGACCGCGTAGGTACAAAAGAGGGGAAGGTGTACAATCGGACACGTCTATGTGCTTATATTCTCACACGAGGGGGCGATAATACGTCGGTGTCCTGCCCCCCTCATACAAGTGGGGGATACTGTGTGCGATACGGTTTGCGACACTGTGTGCGCGTGTTCATACCTCCTCGCACGACTGGACGCTACTCTGTAGGTACACACACGACGACAGGTACATACACACCCACATACACGGTTTCCCCGCGCTGGGGAGGAGCACGTACAACTTCACACACAGGTTCAAATTAAGAGGGTGATAACAAATAAAAAAAAAAGGAATAAATGGGGTAGAAAGGAGTAAAATGCGATAAAACGGGGTGTACACAATGCACAAAAGAATGCAAACAGAAAGCCGTTCGTTCATGTTTTCTCCTCGCACGACGGATTACGATACGAGTTCATACATGCAGGCACGGGTAGGCGTAAAACAGTTCTGCATTACGCATGTCCGCGTGAGTACAACTACCTACAGCAGCTGCAGTCGCGGGCTTTAATTACTTGATTGGGAAAGAAACGTGGGGGTTAAAAAAAAAAATATAACTCCACAAAATGATATTGCAAAAGGAATGCAGCTATACGTGACAGCGCGGTGAAATGGAACAAAAGGCGCATTAAAAGGAGCGCTTACATTAAGTGTTGCATGGCGTAAGCTAAAAAAAAAAGAAAAAAAAAAGAAAGAAAAGGGGGGATATCCGCTGGGCATAATTACATATGCCATATAATGCATACCGTATATAAATTTACTTATCACGATAAGTGCATGCCCATACGCTCAAACGTGCGTATGCTGAAGCGAACAAAAGCGCCGTCATTCGTGCGTGCGCTCAGACGAACATATGCTTATGCATATAATGCTCCTAAAGGGGAAGAGAACGGGGGAGGGGGAGAGCTCTTTAATGAATTAACTAAACTCAAACGTGGTAAAAAAAGAAAATGACAAAAAAAAAGGAAATGGAAAATGAAAAGGAGAAATAAAAAGGGGAATGAAAAGCAGAAATGGAAAAAGCAAAAAGGAAGGGGGGAAAAAATTCCAATGGATGATTGTCGAGGGTCTATTTAAACTATATCAAAGGCAAAAAGAAAGAGCAAAAGAATGGAAAAGTAAAAAACTAAAGAGCAAAAAAATGAAACAGTAAAAAAGAAAGAGCAAAAAAATGAAGAAATAGAAAAACAAAGAGCAAAAAAATGAAAAAGTAAAAAAAATAAAGGTAAAAAAATGATAGAGTGAAAAAATGAAAAAATAAAAAAATGATAAGGTGAGAACGCGAAAAAAAAAACAAATGATTCGTCCATAAACGCCCAAACGTACAAACACGCAAACACGAAAACGCTAAAACGCCTAAATGAGGGTTTTACATACAAAGTAGCATTTATTTAGTCCTTAAATCAGGACTCCACGTATTCTTCAAATGATACATAATGCCAATCCTGCAGAACTAATTCGTATGTACCAGTAGACCTTGTTCAATTTTAACAAAAGGGAAAAAAAATTGTCAAAAAAAAAAAGAATAACTGTGGAGGGGAAAATAAAAATGGTGTCATATGTACGCACATGTATTATTGTATCCATACCTGTCACCTTTGGAAATGGAAAAAGCCCGAAATTAAAACGGGACGCGCGATTTACGACGCGTAGAAAGAGGTAACCCCCCCCCCCAAAACGTAAAACGAAAAAGAAAAGTGATGAAACCAAGTGCGAGAAGTAAAGCGGCCATATGGGACGCAAAATATAAATGACTCCAAAATGATGCCACCTATCCTAATGGCGAGAAGCTTATATGTAAACAATGCCATGGCGCAGACACCTATGCTCCCATGCGCCTATGTGCGTATGCACGCGGGTGGTGGACACGCACAATTGTATGCAAATAGTATGCATATCTCTGCATACGAATGCTGGCAGGGAGGTGTTCCCCTCAACGGGAAGACGAGGAATAAGAAGAAAAGGAAAAAAACGCCTTTTTTTTTTGTAGCCACCAGCGGGAGGCCTATACACATATTTCTAGCTAAACTTACCTCACGTATGCCCATTCGAACACTCGATCGCACATATGAATATATAACGACTTGACCATTTTCTCGCATCCCTAAGCTTTGTCACACTTCTGTTCTTTCCCACCATGTTCCTTATCACCTCTTCTTTTTTTTTTTTTTTTTTTTTTTCCATTCAACGTACAGTCGATGGCGCTGCAGCTTTAATAACCATATGAAGGGGAAAAAAAAAAAAAAAAAAAAAGAAACATGATACACACTGCGCACTTTATGGCTTGGCATGCCCAAACGTAGTTTTCCCCCAAGCGATGCACAAAATGAGAAAAAGAAATGCTAAGGGGGAATTGAAGTTTAATGCTGCGCGGAAAACGTATAGGCAAATCAGTGAAGCGATAGGAAGATACAGGGGATCGCAATAGATTTCGGCTTGGGGTGAGATCCTCATCATAATTGCTCCTAAAAGAGTGGCTTCACCAATTTGCTGAGTTCCTATGTGACACTTGGGCGTATTCATAAAATTTATGCAGTGATGATTCCACCACGTGATGCCCCTCTCCTGTGTGAAGCACAATCGCTCTTACCCTCCCCGGGGGAGAATGCCAAGGAAGACTCTGCCTTGGTCTTATACATATTTTGATCACCACACAAGAACAGCATCTGTATTTGCACTCTCTACACTTGGCATTGCTAAATTCTTTTACCCCCATGTTTTCCCTTCTGTTTTAAAAAAGGATTTACCGCTTTGCTATACAGCACTTCAGGGTGTGTCGAATGTGTGTTTCGTTTGTTTGCATAAGAGACATGGGATTGAGTGCCTCTTTTTGACGTCAAACCTTTCCGACGTTGACCTTCACCGGGTGGCTTATACACAACATAAGGGCAATTAGCGAAACAGGTGAATGATCAAACAACACATCAGTCTTAAGACGAACGAGGCTTGTTCTTCCGGTCACACTCGCTTCAAACAAATGCGCACCGCCACGCTTTACAGCTTAATAACGAAATTAATTCGCACCTTCTCACTTAAAAAATAAAATCACATTTTTTGCAACTAATGAGAAAAAAAGGAAGGTCAATTCATCACCCATTTCGACTGGGGAATGCTTTTCCGCGTTATCTATTCATTTGAAACGGTAGCGGTTGACCGCTGCGACATATAATTGGATAGGCTTAAATGGAAGGGGTGAAGCTACATTATTGGGGATTCATACAAGAAGCCTTCTCCAAAGAGGACCCAATTGGGCACCCCGCGCCTCTTTACCCCTTCTTGAGATTTTCATCCCTACTCTGTGTACGCCTCTGCCAAGTGCAAATCCAATTTAAACCCAAAAAAAAAAATATATAGCACGCCGAACGAGTCACGAATGTAAGCATGTTCCACCTTAACACGTTCAGGTGGGCAGCAGTATATGGAGCTATCGCAGTTTTACAGTTTGAATGGCTCCTCGCGCAGGGTCTGCTTAAGGGTCCCCTCTTAAGGGTCCGCTTTAGAGTGATAAACCCTCTCCCTCCAGTTTTGCCATTCACGCGAAATATATAAATGAAAAGATGCTTGTCAAGGCTGAGAAACGTTATCGCAGTTCTGACACTGACGGAGCTAGCCAGCTGGTGGCTTCCCTTCACATGGAAAGGAGGGACAGTTAAAGGAGGGACAGTTAAAAGAGGCACAGTAAGAGGAGCGACAGTAGAAGGAGCAACAATAAAAGCTGCCACAGCAAAAGGGGGGTATGCCTGCACCGAATACGTTATCCCCAATAGCGTCGTTAAGAAGCCCTCCGGAAAATATTTCCCCCTCCGTAGAAGACTCACCGCTAGACGCAAAAAAAATGAATTGTCAGTGCAAAGATATGGCCTTCATGACCAATGCGATCGAAGGAACTGGGTGGAGAAGGGAGTCTCCTTCCTATTCATTCGCGTAGCTACACATATAGGTGAAACGAATCAAAGTGATCAGACAGGTCGTCCGAGGAGACAACACGTAAATCGCGTCCGAGGGGAACTACATCCTCCCCGTTCCATCCAAGTGTTCTCATCCAATCGGAAATGTGATACCAGCGATGGAGAGCATGAAATGTCCCCTGGCGAATGCATGAATCCACCCCTTCCCAATAAAACAAGCGAACCTGTGGAATCGGTCCAGCAGAAGGAGGAAGAAGAATGCGAGAGGATTTTCCTAACCGACACTAAGTATTACAAAAGGAGCAAGTACTCTAAAGCAGGGTACCTAAAAAAAAAAACAGGAGCAGGCGAATTGAAAACTGGGAACAATGCGGACCATTTTCATCCGAAGGGACTTCTCCACAGGGAGTTTCCTCCCATCACATCCATTGAATCTGAAGATGATCTGCTCCTCACAAATAGCATGAGAAAAGGCCCACAAAATGAGCACCTCAACCTGCCAGAATTCTTTATCAGCAGCTACTATGCGGATCGGAACAGGCCCAACGAGCTGGATCTAGCAATGGACACGGATAAAAAGGAAAGTACCTTACCTATTAGTAGCAAAAATAACGGCAAAACGGACGAGAATTGCACAAATTGCACAAATGCTAACTACAGTAGTAGGAAAGCATCCATAATGAACGAATTCACAGTGATCGGAGAAATTGTAGGAGTTCATGGACTACAAGGCTGGCTAAAGGTAGTTAGCTTCACAACATTTAACGATATAAGATTTAGGAAAAATCAGTACAGGTATTTATTTATGAATAGCTACCCGTACCCTCTGCCAATTAAGCTGACAGATGTGAAAGAATCCCTAAAGGTAGGGTTTCTCTACGTCAAAATTGAAGGAATCCATTCCAGGACAGATGCACTTAAATTAAAGTCTTGTCTAATTTGTGATGATAAAAGGAAATTCCCAAGCCTAAGTGAAAACCAGTACATATCTACTGACCTCCTGAACTTTGATGTTGTCATTTTTAATGACCTTACGAATACATGCATAGGGAAAGTCCTTTCCTTTGTCTCCAGGTATGACTATATATGTAAGAAATCAACACAGAGCATTGCAGACGATTTGATTAAAATTGAGCTCAAGAAGAACATTTCTCTGCAGAAGGTTTTCAACATCATATCTGCTGCGCAGATGTACGCCATGCGATCCGCGGCGTCGTCTCCTCTGACTGCGTCACAGGGGAACCCCGTCCGGGTGCTCATCCACCGGAAGGGCTCTTCTGTCACGGGTCAGCCAGGAGCCGAGATAGGCGGTGGGCTAAGCGGTGAAGAACCACTCGGGGAGAAGTACCACTCGGAGCACGGCGATAACCACGACTACAATGGCGACGACGAACGGGTGAAGGGAGACAAGAACTACTACGACTCGATTGATAACTTTGAAGGCTGCTCTTACAAAAAGATATACAAGTGTGACTTCTGCGATGATGTGTACGACGACCTCCAGGAGGCGAGCGAACACGAGAGTTCGCACTTCCCCACGGATGAGGAATTGCTCTTTAACGCATCCCGGGCGAATCCCCCCAAGGAAAAACTATACGAAGTGGACAGGAATATGGTCTCTAAGCTAAAGGCTATCGACTAGTAAGTCAAAAAAGAAGCGCAATCCAGCCAAGGTGTCTACGCGAGGATAATCATAATTAACTGCACAGGAGGGAACCTTATTGTTTTTCCTCCCCATTTGAGTATATTTCCATCTGTGTGATTATTTTTTCCTCTCTACACACTTAAGCGCTTCATCACTTATGCCCTTTCGACATCACACATTCCTGCTTCTTCCATCCCCCTCACACACACACACTTCTAATCAGCTTTTTCATCCCCATCGTGAAGGAAAAAACGATAAGGTCAGTAAACTACGAAGTTAAGCAAATGTACCTCGACATATCAACCATATTTTTGTTGGATGACCAGAAAAAGGCTTAGAAGTGACGTGCAGGACGGGATGCACTTTCGCTTCCACGTTTTCGTGATAGTATACATGGGAACACCCCTTTCTGTGCGCACGCTTTCGTGGATGGAAGGACAGCCGCGCCCCATGGGGATTTAATCCTATGCAGATTTGTCCTTTTTTTTTATTTTTATTTTTTTTTTTTTTTTGAAGTGAACTAGGCTCAAAGGAGCAACACCACACGGATGTTTCACCATGTTGTTCTGCTTATACAGATTGTTCTTTTTTCATTTTTTTTTCTTTTTTTTCCCATTTTGCCTGCCTCCTCCGCTCCATGTCTGCAGCATTTGTCTTATACCCCCCGCTTCTAAACCTGCCCTGCATATATATGGGCTACTTTGCCTACCCATTACTCTCCGCCTACCTCTATGCATGCCGGGAGTTAGATAACCCCCATCAATCCAACTCACGAAATTATGAAGGAACTCTACCATCTGTATGTCTCCCTTTTGGTTTGCCTTTTTTCTACAACGCGAATTATCAACGGTATGTGAGACGGGTAAAATGTGGCCACATGGTTCCTAATTTTTTGTGTGCGAATGAAGGCAAAAATGGGAAGCGCTTCACCTCGCCAGTTCTGCACCTATCGCCGCCTTCTCCAATGGCTACATTTTCTCACTGCTTGCTTTCCCCCTAAAGAGGAACTCCTCTCCGTGGACAGAATCAGACATACCATGCGGAACTTCATCGTGATGGACGAATCCAAGGGGTTCTCGAACTTCGCCCTACTCTATCTCTACAACGCATTGCGGTGTACACTAACGCAAGACGCTTTCGAGTCCCATGAAGATGAGAAATACAGGAAGGCGATATTCCTCGTGAAGCACAACTTGCTGCAGTTGCGGCAGAAGAGGGGGGACAGAAACTTGTGGTTGTTCTTCGAGTTCGACCTCACGGATTTGTTACTATCCGCGGTAATTCTGCATGCGCGAGAGGTGAAGCTGGAGTGGGCACTTCCCGCGGTGGGCCAAACGGACACTCCGTCTGTTGCACCATCTGCTTTTTCGCCATCCTCTTCTTCACCACCCACTTCTGCACTCGCTTCCCCCCCACACACAGACGGCCGAAATCGAGGCGAAGATGAGGAACTACGACATGGGGCTTCTCGAAATGTACAACGAGCTGCGCCTGTCTGACTTCACCTTCAACCGCGTGTCCAACCTGGAGCTGGACATATGCACCAATCACATCTTCTCCGTCGAGGAGATGAGTCTGCACCTGACCCTTGTGCCTTTCTTGCTGGAGGAAGCAGGTGCGATGGGGGGACCAGCCCATAGGGGAAGCCTTCAATAGGGGAGGCACCCTCTCAAATAGGGCTTCCACCACGCGATAGTTCAGTAGACCCAGCAGAGATGTGTATTACCTATGGGTGGGAACTACTCTCTTCTTGATTGCTCCAAATCTTTGTGCTTCCCCCACACGTATTACTCATATGACCACTCCCCCGTGCAGACGTAACTACCAACTTGTACACGGAGGAAATTCGGGAGGCCCTGTGGAAGACCCTGAACTTTTTCAACTTCTGCATGCTACAAATAAACCAGCATAACATGAGCATCGTCAATATCTACAAAAAGGAGATAAACGTGTTCCTGAAAGTGATGGACAATTTTGACTTCATATCAATAAACGAAGAGAACCTCCTGGAGGTGCACGACGAGATTCATTTGAAAAATAAGTATGGAAAGAAACTGCTTCGAAATTTTTTCATTTTCTTAAATCTCTTTTTATTTTATCAAGTCGCTGAACAATTTGAGTATTTCCACTATATTGAAGTGGTACCTATTTACATACGAACGAAAAAGGGGACGATGAAATCGAGGAGTTACAATATGGAGAGTACCTTTTACCCCTTGGTTGAAGGGGTCTACAAACATGATTTAAAAATAGATGAAGGAATTATCCTAATACGTATTTTAAAACAGTACAACATAGAAAATGATACGAAGCGGATGTACTACTATGATTCTGATTTGATATATAAGGCCATCATATATGAATCTGTTTTGTCTTCCTCATCCGTATCATCCTCTGGTCAATCTGGTGTCCAATTTGAACCCCTTTATTCACAGAATATCGACATAACAAAAGGGGCTCTTCCTCCTGATGAAGACATAACGTTAAGTCTGATACTGCTCGTCAATACGGACACCTCTGTGGACGCTTTTCTAGAACAGATCCACAACTTTGTTTTTCCAAAGGATATCTTTCCTGCCAATTGGGATTCCAACAAAGAGAGAATCAAAATACTGGGGTCTTGTATTTACACCAAAGAATCGCAGCCCCCCATTTTTCAAGGCTTCTTTTCCAGGGGACTCAGCACCTACATTCTGTTCAAAATTTTGGACTTTTTAAAGCCGAACAAGAAGCTCCTCTACCTGTCCATTGACAGGGCAGAGGACAGCAAGAACCAAATCGCCTCCGAAAAAATCGCCGAGCGCATTATGAACGTCACGCAGCAGCTGTACGAGGTCGTCCTCCTCTTTGAGCGAGACGTAAGGGGAAAGAGCCGCCACGGCAGAGAAGCAGAACAAGAACGCAGCGGCACAGCAGCGCAGCGGCGAGAGGATGTGGAAGAGTCCCACCCTGGGGGGGAAATTGCCGCACTTGTTGACACTTCCTAAGCCCGTCTTCTTCCCCAAGATATCATAACAGCTTGTACTGGGATGAGCGCTAGCCTTTACTACCCCCGAATTGCTTCCCCCACTTTGCTAATTTTTTTTTTTTTCCTTATTCTTCTTTCCTATCTTCCACCAGGCCATCATCAACTTTGACAAATTCGAACACAGCGACGAATGCGATATGTGCCTGCTGGGTTACCGAGGGCTGTACACCCTATACGTGTGTATTTTCATCCCGATTTTGGTCAGCATCCTTATTTGCTATTGCATTTACAAAAGAAAAATCGGTGCCCAATGCAACTCACCTGTGCGGAAAATTGCGACATTCCCGAACCAGGTGAAGTCAATTGAGCCAAAAATAGTGACGCTGCAATTATAGCTTCTGTTTGAAGGCGTGGAAGCCGAGGCAGGCGGTCAAGGTGTGCAAAGTGTGAAAGGTGTGAAAGGTGTGAAAGGGCGTGCAAAGTGAGCAACGTGTGAGAAGAGGCCAAAGCGGGCGAAACGGGGGAAGCATGGCGACATTGACACCCCTCCCCTGCATGCGCAAAATCTCTTCACCCTCTGTGTGCACCTAGCTTTAGGCAACCTAACCAGGGCAACACTACCCATTTGGTGCTTTGCTGCGGGAAAAATTACTTTATTTCCTCCCTTTTTAATTTTCTCCCGTTTCGCTAGTGGGGTGGCGCGAAGAGATCCCAAGTGAAGTAAACTCTGCCTTACGATTTTTGCACCCCTCAGCCAAGTTGCGAGATCAACGCCTTCGCTAACACGGTGACAAATGAGAATAGCGACAGCACTCCCTCTGCGTCCGCCTTGCCCCCGAACCCAGCTTGAATAACACAAAAGTGACCAAAATGGACGCCCCGTTGGAAGCAAATCTGTATGACGCATCTAGCGTGAAAGAATGCCACAACAGGAACCGCCCGGACAGGAACAACCCGGACAGCAGCGATGACGGCGCATGCGACGATGAGGAGACGGACGCAGAAGCCACCGTAGTGAATAGTATGTACGTTTAAGGCCGCAAAAGTAGGGACTGCGGCTGGGCAAGCGCGCGTTGCCAGCTGCGTCCACAGTTGCGTTAGAGTCGCGTGAGGGTCGGCGGAGGTAGACCTCGTCTGCTCCCCGTGATAGAAGCGTCAGTCTGGATTCGCTCAGCAAAAGGGAGGAAAAACAAAAGTTACCCCTTTTTCAGTTTTTCCATATAAGAGAAGTCTTCCTCTTTCGTTTTTTCATCCAAGAGCCTTTTTTTCCCTTCCATTCCCCTTTCTCCACTTGCCAACCCGCAGAAGAAGGAAGCTTTTATAAAAAGCTGTACGCCCTCATCGAGTCCAAATCGACCTACATCAATTTGGTCCTAAAGTGCAGGGCTGAGGGGGACAGTGAAAATGCCACTGCCCAGAAGAAGCGGTACCTTAGGGCCAGTCGGAAGTCCCAAGACGAGGGGCAAGCCGAGCGAGAGAGTGCCTTAGAAACGGTTAGGGAAATAATTAAGAGGAAGTTTCCGAAGCGTGCCGAGGGCAAGATAGAGTTGTACTTGAAGGAAATTATAGGTAATCCGTGCTGCGGAGAAGGGCGCCCCAGAGGGGCATGCATGCAGAGCTGGTTACAACCCCAGCACGACCCACAGGATATACTGCCCAAAGGGAGTACTCCACATGTCATTCACCACATCTGATTCAGCACATCTGATTCACCATATCTCATTCACATCGCATGCAACACATCGCCTGCATGACATCCTCTTCACCACATCTCCCCCTTCATACCATTTGCTACACTGCGCCTCCCCCCGAAGGAAACCCGCCCCCTGAGAACTGTGCCCTGCACAAGACCCTCTACCAAAGAAACGGAGCCAAGTTGTTCGTGAAGCACAACCTAATCAGCTACCTCCTCCACTTCGTGGACAACAAAACGCTCATGAAACTCAAGGAGTGCTCAAAGATAGACAACGAAGTGGTAAGTCTCTACCTCCGAAAAATACTACACACCTTATCCTTCAAGGATGACGAAATAAAGGCCAATATCCACTACTGGAGAAATGTCGTCAATTATTTTTTCTGCAAAACGGGTACTCTCAAACCAGTGGATAGAAGGAATTACCAACCTGTCACCAAAGAGTTCGAAAAAAACAAAAGCTTCTGTGTAATTACAGAAGATTCTATGGATTCAAAAGTATACATCAGCTTAGACTATTTCAATGAAAAACAGATAACATCCTGCACACATAAAAATCCACTGCCACACACATGTGACGTTATGAACGTACCAAACGGAGTGGAAGTTCTCCTAAAAAGTGAGAACATCTCCATTATCGATTTTGTTGAGGAATACTACAAAAGACTCATAGTTCATGAAGATGAGCTAATGTGGCACATATGCAATTTCAGAAAATCTCGAAAATTTTTAACGCTCCTTTTTCTCGAATACCTCAAGTGTATGCTCCATGTACTGGAGAAATACAATGGCAATTGTGTTTTTAAAAAAACAGAGTACTTGGTAAACTGTGGACACCATATTACGCACAGAATTTGGATCCAAATGTTTTACGACTATGGGTATGAAACAGTAGGCAATCGGAAAGAGGAAAAGGGAGACATGAACAGGGGGCAGAGGACTACTGGGGGGTTCCCCAAACAGGATAGTACTAAACAGAAGAATCAAGTGCAGACGGATAGCACAATGAATAAGACACTCTACTTAACCATTGCTGACCATTTCAAATGGGATGCATAGTCGTCGAAGCGGTAGTTTTTGCTCCTCCAACAGGCGGCACTACCGAAATGGCAAAGGGGGCGGGACAGTACACTCCTACCTCCGCCAAGAGTTATTTGTGATGAACTTCCCATTTTTAAAACGCTTGGCCAGTTTTGCACATGGATCGGGTGGGCATGACAGGGACAGGTACAGAGACAGAGAGGAAGGAAGAAACCTTCCCGCCAAACGTCCCCCTGAAATACACCAAACGAAACGAATTTGTCTTCCATTTTGTTAAAACAAGAAAGAGAAATTGTTTCAGTACAGAATGTGGCTCCGCTTAGGACACCTTCATCACTGCGCAACCGTTGCAACAACGGCAACCGCTCATGTCATTTTACTGTTGGGCATAGCTTAAACGACCCTTCGGGATGACGAAGGGGGAAAAAAAAAAAGTTGTTGTTGCGATTTTTTAATTCACTAAGTTGTAATGATAAAAAAAAAAGAAAGAAAAAAAAATGGAAACAAAGATAGAAGCCTCAACATATGTTTACATTGAAAAAAAATTAGGAAACAAATTTGTAACTCTGGGAGGGAGAGAGTAAAAAGAAAAAAAAAAAAAAAAAAAAAGGCTAACTCCTTGTGTACGAAAGAATGGAAGCTGCGCATTTTTTTTTTTTTACTTTTACAGTATTACTTAAAAATAAAATTTACAAAAAATTAAAATTGGCTTCGTACTCCGACCACTAGAAATATTATTAGGATCGAGGAGGTGTCTTCGAGTGTAGGCAACATTCTACAATGTATAGACGTCTTCGACTGCGGGTCCCTTCCGCCCGCTGCTGATCTACGTGGTAATTTTGTCTTCTTAATTTTGCCTACTTCTTAATTTTTTCTACTTCTTAATTTCGTTTTCTTCTTTCCTGTTATGGGGGAATGGGACGAACGTACAGAATGTGCAACTGCGGCGTGGCAGCACATCTCCCAGCGGAGTCCTTTCCGGTTGGAAGGAGATGGCATGCCTAACAATTCGACATGTACAAAAGACAAAAGAAGAGAAACAACACGTACAAGTTGAGCTCATCGTGCAAAGGAGCCCTTACTTTTGTTCTTTGGGCTCATCTTTTTTGGAACAGCTCTTGCAGTCATCTGTAGGAAGGGTGAACCGGTTAGCGGGATGTAATTTAGAGTTCGGCATTGGCATTCCCATTGGGTTTGACAGTGAGGTTGCTCGTATCTTTTTCTCCCCAGCATCGTGTACTTTGACACCATTCCCTTTGTCATTCCTCCAGCATCCCGCTGCTTACCTCCTCCTTCCGACGAATCTGAGTCCGAGTCGGAGCTCTCCCCAAAGTCTTTGGGCTTGTGATATATGCAGCAGACTACGCAGAAAAAATGGGGGAGGAGCAAAAAGTGAGGTTGCCTAACGCGCGGTTAAGCGGTTAAGGAGATAGACTGTTTGCGCCCCTTGGTTGTTCACGTGGCTATGCAATTCGAACTTCCCCGGCACTACGCCTTACCCTTGGACGACTTCTTCTGCGCGTTCTCGTTGTCAACAGTGTTTTCGTCCCACCTGACCATTTTGTGTGGAGTCAGCTTTAAAATCCGCACAATGGTGTTTTGGTTTCCATTTTGTTCGTTCCTCGTGTTCGCTTCTTGCACGTAGGTGGTGGTCGTCGCGCTTGAGGACGAATGCATATGAGACATGGTCAAAAAGAAAAGGGGGGGGTGCTTACATATATATGCACATGTGTGCAATCTGGGTGCTCAGGGGTGTGTATATAAAACCCAGTCTGCGTATGTAGACAGGTATCGTGCTATGTCATAAAAATGGACACCGCATGAATGAAGTTGAACTGGTACCCCAAAAGGGGAAGACCGCGGCGAAGCTGGTGGAGTGCTGCAGGGATTAATTAAGATAGCCTTGTAGGAATTTCTCCCTCGTCCATACGGACGCACTACACGCAAGCAGACACAGGAAAGGAATCCCCGTCTTGTAAAATGGCACGCCTCAGCTGCTGTACAGTATATATATTCGAATCATCAACAGTTTAGTAAGGACACGCTTAGCGCATTCTTATTTCATACACCCTTACGTGCCTGTTGTACAAACTTGTACGTTCATTTTTCACAGGTGTTAACTTTTCTCTCTTGTTTCCACTCCACGGGGAGAAGAAAAAAAAAAAAAAAAAAAAAAAAAAGTAAAACGAAGTAAAATAAATGCTGATATCCTCATATTACAATTTTGTAAAAAGTGGAAAATATATCCTCTTCTTGCGATTTGTTCAAAAAACATCACTCCAGTGAGACGCAAAATTTATTTTAACTTAAACTGCTTTTGTACCGATTAAAAGGAAAAAAGAAAGAAAAAAAAAAGTACTCCTTTTCACAATATATATATATACCAGTATACATGCAAAAGTGCCTGTTTTGTGAAGACCTCCTCCCCACAAAAAAGTCTTTCCTTTTAAACCTTCCCAAATCAAAATCACCTGTACGTTAATATATTTTTTTTTTCTTTTTTGCCTTTTAGACTGAGTTTTCAGTTAGCCATTTTTCTTTTTTATGTCATATTCACGTAAAAACAGATAAAAAAAGGAAAAAAAGGGGAAAAAAAGGGGAAAAAAAGGGGAAAAAAAGAGGGAAAAAAAAGAAAAAAAAGGGGGAAAAAAAAGAAAAAAAAGGGGGAGAAAGAAGGGGAAAAAAAGCTAACTGCTTTGTATGCCCACTTGTTTACATTTTTTCTCAACCGAAACGCAAATGCAATTTCGGGCGTATTAATGTACACTATCCTGCCGGGCGCTGCGGGGGAAATTATCCCTGTGAGGTGGAAATCCGCTAAACGGTTCTCCAAATGGGTTTCGTGCAAACTCCCAGTTTACAAAAATAACCTAAATGAACCGAATTGGATGCACTTGCTACATTTGGTACATTTGCTAAACTTGCTAAATTTGCCAAGTTTGTCGAATTGACTGAATTGGTTGAATTTGCTGAATTCGCTTCGTTCGCAGAGTTTGCCAGGGACGCGTAAAACTGAATGAACCGCCCGTACTAATGTGGGTAGCAATATACACCCACATGCCCACGCGACGTTGCCGCGCGCGAGGAAGACGAACAGCACGGCGCCAACGTATGAGCCACACGCGCGAAACATGTTATGCACATCATATACTACTAAGCTAAATCTACGTAACGTGCTTGCGTCACGCTCTGCATATGCATTGCCATGCAGAGGCTGTAAATAATACAACAAAAAAAATAATAAAATAAAAATAATAAAAGTAATGCATAAATAAATAGGCACAAGGTGAAAAAGCATAGGTAAGGAAAAAAAAAAAAATAAATAAAGGAAAGTAAAGCATTCAAAACATGATACTCTAATTGGGGCATAAACCCAAATGAGCAAGTGGCATATTTGGACATGGACACAGTTCAACCGCCAGCAGTGCGAATTGTGGCTGATAGCAGTCATAACTGTATATGCGTGTACTTGTATACGTACACGTCGTGGGGAAGGGGTGATCTTTCTACGCGGGAGCAGCAGCACCATCGCAGTTTAAGACACCCACCTGCGTTGCTCATATAAAAAAAAAACAAAACAAAATGAATGGTTAATTCCGGTTAGCACATCCTAACAACGTTAAGCTCATCGCACATGGATTCCTTAATCAACGGTGCTTCTCATCGCTTCCAATTTTAGTAATATGTCTATCTTGTCAGCTCGAACATTGCTTACGTTTATGGGCATATAGAGATATATCCACATGGCATCTTCATATGCATGGTGCGCACCCCCGCGCTTTGCTAACGCGGGGTACGCCTCTCATCCTTCTACCCACTAACATGTTTCAGTTTTTACATCCATGATCACCCTCCGAAAGGTATACGTCTCTTCATGCGAAAATACGAAAAACTCTGTTCACATATTCGTCGCCTGTTTAACCATTAGGTAAATCCAATTCGACACAGAAAAAAAAAAGAAAGAAAAAGAAAATATGGCTAATCAAAATGAGATAGCAAAATGGGGGTGAAAAATGCTTCTTCTTCAACTATGCTTAGGACTGAAAAAATTGTGCCACGTGTGGCTTTATATACCACTGCAGGTTTGACCGTCCTGGGGCTTTGCACTACTTGCAGGAGGCCTAAACGTGTGTTATTGATGCAAGGTGAGGCGACGCTTTCCTCCCTCTCGAGTATTCCTCCAGACTAATTGTGCATATTCGTGCGTGGGGCATTCACTTACATGCACGACAATAGGGGGCACCAGGGGACATCACGGGACACCACGGATCAGCAGATTTCAACACGTATCAACACAATCCACTCACTTCCATGGTTCCGCCCTTCCATCGTTCTGCCCACCTCAGTAGTCATAATTTTCATAGTCGTCCTCCTCCTCGTTGTCCGAGTCGTCCTCATTGGTAGAGGACGCTTCCTTCTTTTTCGATATCTGGATGAGGCCTTTCTTCTTTCGCTTCTTCTTCTTAATGTCATACTCGTCATCCACAGAATTGTCCCCCTCGTCGTTCCCATCTTCTTCCGCGTCCACCTGGTTGGTTTCACTCAACTTCCTCTTTTTCTTAACACTCTCGTTGCTAACAAAGGTAAGGTAGTTGACGGCGTCGTACATCTGCCATATATTCTCTAAAACTTTATTTTCCTTGTTTATCCTTCTTAGCTGGATTGGATTTTCCGCTGAGACAATTCCGACGGATATTAAATTATATATATCATAGTAGCTGTAGGGGCCATAGACATTTTTGTTAGCGTCACTAGTCCACCTCAGCTGCCACTGTATGTCTACACTCTCCTCCTTGGACTCCTCTAGCTTTTTGCACAGGGCTTCACATTCGTGCTTCGCCAAGAAGTACACGTTTTTATATTCGTTTGTCAATTTCTGCGTCAAATCTATCAAGTTGTTAAACCTCCTTTCGATTGTTTTGTAGTCCAGGGCTATCTTCTGGTATCTTTCCTCCAGCCTCTGCAGCTCGTTTGGCTTTTCGCCCTCCGCTGGAGTGTCATTCACTTCAGCTTCGCTTTTCTCCTCATGAGTCCCTTCTCCCTCCCGTTTAGCCGCTTTTTCCTCTTCCTCCACTCCCTGCGCCCCCTCCGACGGGGGTTCTTCCTGGCTGGGATGACCTTCTTGCTCGGCGGGATGTTCCTCATGGGGAGTCTCTTCGCTCTTTTCGCCCTCATGCTGACCCTCCTCATTTTGGGCGTCTCCATTTGGAATGACTTCGCTGTCTACCGCTGCGTTCACCAGGGTTTCCTTCTCCAGGGTTTCCTTCTCCAGGGCTTCCTTCTCCAGGGCTTCCTTCTCCAGGGCTTCCTTCTCCAGGGCTTCCTTCTCCAGGGCTTCCTTCTCCACAGCTTCCTTCTCCACGGCTTCCTTCTCCACGGCTTCCTTCTCCACGGCTTCCTCCTCCACGGCTTCCTTCTGCACGGCTTCCTCCTCCACCGCTTCGTCCTGCACCGCCTCCTTCTGCACCGCTTCCCCTCCCCGTCTCTTCAAGTTCACCTGCAAGACGTTCTTCTTCACTGATCCCCGCGGGGCAGCCCCGCCGTCCTCGTCCCTTTTCCTTTCGTTCGTTCCGGAACGGACCGCATCTGCCCCTTGGCAGGACGTAGACACATTCGGATTTTTCGAAGATTCATTGCTCGTCCGAGGGGACGAAACGAAGCTGAATTTGTCTAACTTAAGTTTGCACTCATTAAGGTAATTTCTACAGAGCTTCAAATCTCTCTTGTATCTGACCATGGCCTTAATGGGTGTTTCCTTTTCAATGAGGAGACAAGATAGAGAATACAAAGCATCGTAAATATTGACAGAGAGGCCATTATTATTGAGACTTTGATTTTGTAGCTGATCAAATTTAGATACCGTTTCGTTGTGTATTTTTGCTTTCATTTTTTTATTGGAAAATAAGGTAAATGGATCTTCCTCATCAACTGACTTTAACCAGGCCTCCTCGAAATCATCACCGTCGGGATCGTTATAAACGTAGTTGCCATGCTTGTCTATGTATCCCTCCTTGAGCTCATTCTTCATATTAAACGGCTCAATATTGAACCCGAAATAGTCTTCACTATAGTTGGTAGTTTTTTCCTCTGCATTTAAAATGGCTGCATGTACGTCGTTCACTTCGAAGGAGGAATCTTCATTAAAGGAATGAGTAAACCTTTCTCTTTTAAGTTGTTGATTTTTTCCGATTCGATTGGAAGACGAGCCTTTTGTTGATTCCCCGTCGATTGTCCCATCAACAGAATCATCCTCCCCAGTATTCATGGCGACGTATCCTCTTCTAACCACACCTCTCGCTTTGCCATTCTCTTTGTTTGTGCCTTCATCGGAAGAATCCTTTGCCTCGAAAATTTCAAGGGAATTGTAATTTCCCCCTTTATGATCCTCTTCATTTAGGAAAGAATGGTCAGCCTTAAACTCCTTCTCATCAAAGTCACAGTTATACATCTCATTGTAGAAGCATTCAAAGTAGTTAAAGTTGTTAACGGCAAAATTGAAATAGCTGTTTTCATTTTCGTCTTTTTCGTAATATATGGTTTCATTTTTGTCTGAAAATTGGACTTTTTTTTTTTTTTTTTTTTCTTTTTTCGAAGCTGTTTTCACCTTTACTTATTTCGTTTTCTAATTTTACCAGTTCGACTTCTACGCTTTCTTCGTTTAGCATTTTCGCGGGGGAAAGATTCTCCGAGTCGGCAGGGGAATCGGCGTCACGTGTGGTTAGCAAAATATGGTTTCATGTAATCAACATTCCCCTTCCGCCTGACTTCCTCACTCGGGTAGGTGCAGGCGTATGGATTATGACTGTATTTTTTCTTTTTTTTTATTATTACTGTCAGTGCTCGTAGTCGTCTTGATGGTGATGGTGTGTGTGTGTGGGAGTCTCTGCGATGGCATATGCACAACTTTTCTGTGAAGTTGCAAATGGATGGTGTGCCCCCTCGTTTCCCCTTCTTTTTATCGTTACACGAGGGGGGCATACACCTACGCTGCTAAACTGTGTACCTTCAAAAGTTGCCACTACGTATGGGAAGAAATATATATCTTCTCATTCGAGACGTTGCTTACTTCTGTGGTGCGTGCGAAGAAGCTTGTTGCGATTGGAAAGTGGCTATTTGGATGTATGCCCTTGTTTTGGTGTGCACCCCTCCAAAGGGGGGTGGGAAGGAAATGGGGGGGGAGGGAATTTGTGGAGAGGTCCAAAAGGGACAAATCTCGCAAAAGGCGAAGAATGGCATTACATATGCAGAGCTGCACAAAAATGTAGTGCTAACACTGAGTACAAAATGTACAGAAAAAAAAGAACAGCATAAATGAGTGATACGTTTCCCCAATTTACCCGAAACAAACTGCCTTTCACTGGGAATGGTTTTCTTTTCCTTTTTCTTTTCTTTATTTTTTTTTCTTAAAATCTCCCAAAGATGCAGCGAAATTGGTACACATATCCATTCAATACAAAAAAAGTGTTTAAAAAACGCTCTTTGCATAAAGAATTTTCGCATAAGGCATTTTCTCATGAAGCACTTTCGCATGAAGCATTTCAGCCTGAAGCATATTCAAGTGAAACATTTTCACATGAAGCATATTTCGCGTGAAATGTTTTAAAAAAAAAAAAAAGCAACGAACAGGCGACCAAACGAGCACAAAAAATCTGATGGCGTGCGAAAGAACAAACGGGCGCATTTCGCACAATCCCGTGAATAAGCAAAGAACCCTTGTCGGAACAACAACATGTTGGTAAATTAGAAAAACGTGGATAAGAGAACGTGACCCTACGTTGCCCTCTCATTAATTGTATATAAATATTCACCTATCATATTAAGGACATAATGTATATTGCTCACACTTGGCAAGGAATACGAAATGTGAGCAACGGATGAGAAGGTCCCGTTGGGTCGCTTCCGCTCGTGTTGGTCATATGTTGGACTGCCTCACGGAGGAAGGACGGGCCACATACGCTCCACCAAAAAATTGAACAAATTGAAAAAATTCAAATTGAAAAAATTCAAATTGAAAAAATTGATGTTGAAAAAATGAAATTCCTCCGGGAGAAGAAACTTCAAACGGGACCGACAATTTGCAAATTATTCTTTCCTTTTTTCCTTTTTCTTCTTTAAAAAAATCCTTTTTAAAACACGCGCTAAGGTCTACACTTGTATGCTTACGAATATATGAGCAACCGCGCAACGTTTACGAGTATACGTTCCTTCAAAGCTGTGTGACACGACCGTCTCCAAAGTTGCGCATGGGCACACATGGACATCACGCCATCCACATGCACCTTGGGAAGGCCTCTCACCAATCACCCCCGCGCAACTGTGCAGACTCGCAAATTAATGCAAAAAAAAGAAAAAAGAAAAAAGAAAAAAGGAAAAAAAAAAGAAAAAAAACAAAGGAACATATAAATCGCCCTGTCAACAGAACAGGTGTTGACAAAATTGGCATTCTCCTGTTCCTATATGAGATGTGCACATGTACACATGTTATGCATACCTAGAGGGGAGAACACTGATAAAAGAAAAACACACTAACAAATGAGGATCATTCAAACGAAACAAAACGGCGCTGTGAAAGGCAGCGCCACAGAGTGAAAAGGAAAATTCATAGGGGGGGAGGGCCCCCACCATGGGTAATTAATTAACTCCATCTTCATGAAGAAAAGGATCGCACAAAAGCACTAAAATAAATGACGCGCGGAGGACGCACGCATTCATACAGACAGACACACACAGAAAAAAAACAATGGGATTTCTCTCCTTGGGAATGCTCACATGTCACGCATAAGCGTCGCGCATTGTGGATCCACCCCCCCACACACGCGCCTGCTGAATGTCTGTTTGCATGCCATGGCTTAGTCGCAGCCCCTATAAATTTCGCTTCATGCGCAAAATTCTCCAACCGAACTAGGTAAAATTGAGCAACCACTGGGGCACGATCTGGTCGTGCTTCTTCAAATGGTCAATGAGCTTGTCAAGGATTTTTTTATTCGAGCTGTTAAAGTAGTTAATGGCTAGTCCAGTTTTCCCAATCCGCCCCGTCCTACCAATCCTGTGCATGTACTGCTCAAATTCGGCTGGCAGGTCATAATTTATTACTAACTCTAGGTCGGGAAAATCTAGGCCCCTTGCTGCGATGGAGGTAGCTATTAAAATTTGAAATTCTTTATCGCGGAACTGTTGAAACACGGCTTGTCTCCGAACCTACATGAGATGTAATGGAGCCGTACGTGTGCGATGGGGCAGCATGTGTACGATGTAGCACTGTGGGGGGCATCGTGACCCATGTGCCACATGTTTGGGCGTAAAAATTTTACAAATTGCTCCTATCCGATTGGTTCACCCAGTGCATGTCCGCGTCAAGTAGGCACAGTTCACGATGAATTATTCGCCAGGAGCTGTGTCTCACGCGGACGTTCTAACGCACTCGCGCTTTAAGTCGCTACCCATTGGCGACCACGTTGTCATCGCCGCGAACCACCCAACTGATCCGCAGACGTAATGAACCATAACTTACCTGATTCATTTTCCCATGCAGGTAATCCACGTCATACCCGTTCGACTTCAAAGCAGAGAAAATGTAATTAATTGAGCTCCTCAGCTCCACAAAGATGATGGCTTGTCCCTGCAGGGTCTTCAGATCCTTGAGCAGATGCTCCTGCTTGCACTTCGCGGGAACGTACTTGACGACCTGCTCGGAGGGGGTGGAGCAGCGTGCGCGCAGATGAGGCAGCCCAAATGAGGCCTCCCGCATAACCCCACATACACAACTGCATGCACATGCGTACCCCCCCCCAATCGCACCCCGATACAAACTGGGGGCTCTCCACCTACCTCCTTAATAGAATTACGCACTTCCCTCTTCTGCGAGATATTCAAAAACACATACGGAGTGGCCATGAACTTCTCGATGTCCTCCCGCAGGCTCTCAGAGAAGGTCGCCGTGAACAGTATGGTCTGTCTAGCATCACTGGCACAAAGGTCATTTTCGAATAGAATGGCGTCCATCTGTTCCTTCAAACCAAGGGAAATCATTTCGTCGGCCTCGTCGAATATTAAATATTTTACAAACGACAGACTGACCTTACAACTGTTCATCAGATCGAGTAGTCGCCCAGGGGTCGACACGATGACGTCTGCCTGGCGTTCGTTTATCTGCACAATCTGGGGTGTAAGGGTGGTTATTGAGCAGGGTAGCGGTGACGGGGGGAAAGCAATTCATCCTCAAAGAAGCGGCTGATGATCCTCGAAAAAAGATCTCATCCTAAAAAAAGAAGCTGATGATCCTCAAAAAAGGAGGTGACCCTCACAAACGGTGCAGTCAAACGCAAAGAGGTGAACCTACCTGGTCCTTCATCGTCTCTCCTCCATAGAAGGCCATACAAACGAGCCCCATATCTTTCGTCAAACTGTTAACCTGGAGGGGGAATAAAAAAAAAAAAAAAAGAAAAAAAAATGAGCTTTGGCGTGTCCATGTCGGGGAATCTCCATACTGGTTGCAACCTCCTGAAACGTACGTACTCATGTGTTCCTTTTTGAGCGGCCGCGCCGCTTCCTAATTTACACAAGTTACCTCGTCCAAAATTTGAAGGACTAACTCTCGCGTGGGGCAGAGGACCAACCCCAGGGGAGAAACGCACGCGTAGGCCCCGGGGAAATGAGGCCTCAACGTGTCGTTGTCTCGCATCAAATTTGTCACTACTGGACAAAGAAAGGAAAAAGTTTTCCCACTTCCTGTTTGTGAACACGCAATCAAATTCATTTTGTTCTTTATTATTGGGATGGAGTACTTCTGAACGATCGTCATTTGGCTGTATCCCTTTTCGCAGATGTTTCTGTAGAGGTTATTTCCACAGATGGTGCTGAGCGGTGGTGGTGATAGGGGGGGGGAAGGATAAGTTGCGCCATATGGTCACGCACAAAATGCGGGTATAAATGGGTGAACAAGAGAGTGTGCAAGCTGCAGATCAGACTGGAAATAAAGAAATCGAATGAAAAAATGTGCCCATGTCAGCTGTGCAAACATGGGCAGGCCCACATACACACGCTCGCTCAAGACTTACCACAGGTCGTCCATGCTGCTAAGCGGCCCTGGCACCTCGATCTTTTCGCTTCCGTAACATTTGCACTCGATGATGTAGCACTCTTCGTCAAATATGTTGCATTTGTATTTCTTCCCTCGGTAGATGTCACGATTTTCTTCGGCTTCATTTCGATGGCCGTGGTGGTATTGGCTGGACTGGCCATGACGGTACTGATTCATTTGATAGCGGTCGTAATGACTGGGTTTATTAGTGTTATACTGATTGGTTTGGCCGTACTCATACTGATCGGTCTGTCCCGGATTATACAGATCGGTGTGTCCCCGATTATACTGATTGGTGTGTCCCCCATTATACTGATTCGTTGGGCTACGCTCATACTGAATAGCCCCGTCACGATCGTGCTGATTCGTTTTATTAGGGTTATATTGACTGGATCCGTTATAACCGTATTGATTCGGCTGATCATTGTTGTATTTACTGAATCGGTCATAGTCATCCTCAGTGGACCTATTACTGCCATAATCATTGGGTCTATCTGCGTCATATTTGGAGGAGCTATCGAGGTTATATTTATTGGGTTCATCATGGCTAAGATGGCTAGGTTTATCATGGCTAAGGTGACCGGGTTTATCATGGCTAAGGTGGCCGGGTTTATTGTGGCTATACTGACCAGCCCCGCCATTGTCGTATTTACTGTGTTGGTCATACCCATGTCGATTAGGTTTATGTGGATCGTGGAGACTAGATTGGTCGTGCAGAGTGGAGTGGTCCTGCCCATGGTGGTTGGATCGGTTGTGTCCGTATCGATTCAACCTCTCGGAGTCATACTTGTTGGGTTTATCTGGAGGGTATTGACTGAGTTGATCTTTCCGGTAGGGATTCAGGCTCTCGGGGTCACGCTGATTGGACCCGTCATAGTCTTGCTGGCTAGGACGGCCATGTTCATAATGATTGGAGCTCCCTCGCACTTCGGAATGATTGGACCTCCCATCCACTTCCGAATGATTGACTCTCCCCTCCACTTCCAAATGATTGGACCTCCTCTCGCTCTCTACATGACGGGGTGGTCTACCTCTACTGTACTGAGTTGGCCTACCTCTTCCATGCTGAGTTGGCCTGCCTCTTCCGTACTGAGTTGCCCTCCCTCTGGCGAAATGACTGGGCACACCCCTTACAGGCTGACCTCGTGTGCCTCTACCAAACTGACTGGATCCACCCCTCAATAGGTAATTCCCTCTGGAGTCATCATAACATGTCTCCCCCCGGGGAGCACCGTTGTGATTGTTAGCCCCCTCATCAACGGTATCCCATTTGCTCACGAATCGTTTTTTATCGAGCACATTGTGCCTCTCATCCTCTCCCTGTCCTGCTTCCTCTCTTTCTGTGCTGTCAAGTTGGTCACCTTCCCATTTTTTGAAGGCCCCTTTATACAGCCCAGAAGTTTCTCTGTGGTATAGAGGACCTCCTCTTGCTTTCCACTGGGAGTTACTTCTATATCGGTTGTTTTCTTTTCCCCCCAAATTGTTTCTTCTATTATTGTGCGTCTCTTCCACTGGGTAATTACTGTTAATTCCCTTTCTCATTTTGCTCGTAGGTCCATACGTGTCCATATTCTCTGCATACGTTTTTCTTTTCTGCGGTGGTTCTGGAAGGAGGTTCTTCATTTCGCTGTACGTCTCATTGTAGCCATCCACATCATTTGCATTCCCGTCATGAGCGAACTCTTCCTCACTTTGGTAATGAAAATTTTGGACGGCAGCTCCATATGGGTCGTAATTTCCACTCATGCTATTCACTGTATCTATATAATTGCGGTGACTGTTCTGACTTCCGAGTGAATCTCCATTTGGGTGTATCATGTGTTCACCGTTTCGTTTTCTCATCTGCGCTGCGGCTGTGTTATTGTTTTGGCTACCTTCCGCGGTAGTAGCTTCATCCGTTTGGCTAACCATAAAGTTCCTTCTGCCAGTGAAGGCCACAAAGTCCGGGTTGTCCGGATGTTCCGCATAGCTTTCCACACCACCGATGGCGTAGAGGTCGCTATACGGGTATACGTCCTCCACCAGCGTGTTGGCCACAATGCCCTTGGCGTTATCCATTGAGCAAACCTCTTCCTGACAGCCGACATTCGTTAAGTATCTGCTGATGACATCGTTTAGGGCGTCGTTTGATTCTCCTTTATGGGTCCCCTTTATGGATCCATTTTGATTTCGCTTTTCTGTGCCCCTTCCTGCTTCATCCCCCGTGAGGTCACCAGTACCATGGGCGTTTCTACCCCCTTCGATGTGTCCGCTGGAGCCACTGCTACACCCCCTCTGCTCTCTGGTCTGACGAGGTCGGGCCAAATTATTTGCCTTCATTTTGCTGCAACGGGTTGTATGCTGTGCGGAAAATGGGGCAAGCGCGGAAAATGAGGCAAGCGCGGAAAATGAGGCAAACGCGGAAAACGAGGCAAACGAGGAAAATGGAGCGAAGGAGTCCAAAGCGGCAGAATTGGCAGAACTGGCCGAATGGGAAAAGTTACATAATTTTCCTTGGCCGTTTTTATGACTCCGCTTGGGTATATATCACCTGATGGTGATTCCCTCACACAGGGCCTTAATTCTGCTTTCCCTCAGAACTAATCCTTGCGAATTTTCTCATCACAAAAAAAAATAAATTAAGAAAACTGTAGCCGTTGCATTAGCAGTGATATGGTAACAATTGTAGCAACAAAAAGGCGTCCCGGCGTCCCGGCGTCCCGGCGTCCCTTTTCTATACGTATACATGACATTTGCCCCTTAAGAACGCCGCTGCAATTTTATTTGCAATTTTCCCATCTTCAGTACTTTATTTGTATCCACCTGCAGGGAACACGAAATGAGCGCTTAGCTCAAGTGGGTTTCTCTTGTGCTATGCGTATGGCTACACTATGAGGGATGCACAAAGGGTTTTTTTTTTTTCTTTTTCTCAACGGCGCATACAAAAATGGCTATCTATATGTAATGTATGCATGTACACTTCTGTATTCTCCCCCCTCGAGCGATCACATCACGACGTGCACATCTTCGCGAAGGTAAATTTTTGTGGGAAACGCATCTGCTAAAAGGAAGAAGCAAAAAATGAATAGCAAATCAAGGCGGCGTGCTTGTTCCCCCCCCTGCGCGTGTATTCTTCTCCATTTGGCGGTTTCCCATTAGGCGCCTCCCCTCCCCCCTGGGCGTACCCCTCAGCAATTGTTCCGCCGTCCTTAGACGACACCCACAATGGGGGAGAAATGACCAAATTGAAGGCGACACCATGACAGATTAGCTACCCCCCCTGTGTGCATGCCCTGGGGGAGAAACTTGCCTCGTTGGACGTGGCACTGCCACTCATGCAGTTCTTCCTTACGTGGAAGGAAGTCACTTGAATGCACAGTTAAAGTCCCCTCCCATATCTTTTAACGCGTTCATCACGCACATGGCGTTAGCATTTCTGCGTGTGTTGCTTTTCCTTTTGCTTATTTGTGAGAGGGTGAACCGAACAAATCGATGCAAGCAGACAAACTGGGCAGGCCGCAATATGGACGTAGGACAAAAATGCCCAACTGCTCGCCGCGTTCGCCGGGGGTCCAAAAATGAAGTCGAAAAATGGGTAGCAAAATGGGGCTCAAAATGGGTGGCAAAAACGAGTTACACAAAAAAAGGGAGATACGAACGAGTTATGCCAAAGAACCGCCCAGACAGAGCTGGTTTCCCAGCCTCCTTCACAAAATTACCGCCATTTTAACCAGACAATGTGGGCGGGTCCCGCGGTAACCCCAGGAAAAAAAAAAAAACCAAGAA